ACCACAAAATATTCCCACATTCATAATCAACAATTTGTTGGTGGATAAGAAACACAATTATAATCTTTTTCCATTTTCATCTTTTATAGTTTGACATAGTTTCTTTTCTCCCATTTCCATTTGCAAAATTAGTTGCAGCTGAGCCCAGACCTTTACTTTTACTTTCCATTTCTATAATTGAAGCTGAAGAGCTGACTTGTAATAGTTGTAATGAATTCGAGGGTTTTTTAGAAAATGGAACTGGGCTTCGAGACATTGAATTTCAGAATGTAAGACAGCATGTATTTGGTCAACTGAGCATAAATGAGCATAACAAACATTTTGCAGTTTTGTGTATTTTGATAAAGAATATTAATTAAGTAAGAACATATTTGCCATATTTGGCAGCATGTTACTAAAACCCGATCGTTTATTTTGAAGAAATAAGAGACTCTTGTGAACAGGTTGGACCAATATCAAAGCAGTGATCACTAAATCAGACGCTTGAATTCAATGAATATTTTTTATAAGAGAGGGAGCTGAGCCGAAAGGCAAAGCTCTCAATTTACCGGTCAATCTTCGTTCCCTCCCTCACCTATGGTCATGAGCTTTGGGTAATGACCGAAAGAACGAGATCGCGGATACAAGCGGTCGAAATGAGCTTCCTCCACAGAGTGGCTGGGCGCTCCCTTAGAGATAGGGTGAGGAGCTCGGTCACACGGGAGGAGCTCGGAGTAGAGCCGCTGCTTCTCCACGTCGAGAGGAACCAGTTGAGGTGGCTCGGGCATCTGTTCCGGATGCCTCCTGGACGCCTCCCTGGGGAGGTGTTCCGGGCACGTCCCACCGGGAGGAGGCCCCGGGGAAGACCTAGGACACGCTGGAGGGACTATGTCTCTCAGCTGGCCTGGGAACGCCTTGGGGTCCCCCCGGACGAGCTGGAGGAAGTGTGTGTGGATAGGGAAGTCTGGGCGTCTCTGCTTAGACTGCTGCCCCCGCGACCCGGCAACGGATAAAGCGGAAAAAAATGGATGGATGGATGGAATTTTTATGAGATTTCATCAATTATAATTCCCAGAGAAAAGAGAAACTGCATGTTCTTAGTGATAGTGACTAAGATAAAAATGGGTTTGAACTTTAATGTTGATTGTTTGTTTTCCTTGTTAATCACTAAATATTTCAATACAAAAAAGAACAGGCACTTTATTGGCAACACTGTTTTGTCACAGGATACATATTTTTACAGACAACCATAAGAAAACTCAATTCTTACTCAATTCAAATCTCACTTAAAACATTATCATTCCTTCTTTTGTTTGAAAAATATTGTGTGGCGCTGTGAACTGAAATTACAACCTCTACATGCTATTTAAAGCTAAATTGCTCCACATCGTCAACCAGATTTTTCAAATATTTTACTACATACAAACAATTGTGTATGAATGATTATTGCAAGATTCCGCCCTCAATTACACCCATAGAAGCATATACATAGAATTATGTGCTTTTGTATTCCCTCTTATGAGCTCATAAACTGTAATAACATTGACTGAAGGCCTACATCAAATTTCATACATGTTACATTATGTCTAATTGGTATCTTGTGCCTGTCAGGTGCCTCTCATTTGCGAGACCAAACCAATGATAAGCATCCAGCAAATGATGAACTACCAGAACCAGAAAAACGGCTGCTACCAACCCCCGCCTCCAGGCAGCAAGCACGACCACCTGTCCCCAGACGTGGCCCGCCTTATCCAGCTGGAGGAGGGCATCCGGCCAGAGAAGAAGAAGCACGGCCACCACCACAAGAGAGAGCACAGGGACAAGGACCACTGCTCAATCGACATGAACGGACTGGAGACAAATGTATAGAAATCTATCACAAATGTTTGTTATGTCACTCATGCCCTGCAGACCCACGAGGAGAAAAATGGACACTTTTCCTCCAGCGCTGATGGAAGAAGGCTCACTGTGGGTGGCAACAGATAAAGAAAGACATTTTTAACTATTAATGACCTATTTGCATGTACTTGTTTGTGTGTATATATAAGTTATTTGTAAACATGTATGTTTAATGGGCAGTGGCACTAGTGTACAGACTGGCAACGGAAACAGCTATAATCATTTTGATCATTTATACTACCAGAGGACTCTGGGCCAAACAGCCTCTTGCCACTTCGTCAAATGCAAATAATCAAATGCAAATAATTTATCCACACAGACTGCCACAAATGTATTTTTATTCACTTTTATTCATATGTCTCTGGGTTTTGTATGCCTCATTAAGCCCACTCCCTGAAATAAAAAGGACCTGGTTGTTTGGTTTGACCCTTGAAGTTCTTCAGAAGACTTTCTGAAACAAAACGCACAATTTATTATCAAAAATGCAATTAAAATGTCCATATACTCTCCTTGTGTCTTTTTATCCTCACTCTTTCAGCTTGATGCAGAGTACGGACCAAAAGAAACGTGACGGAAGTTTTAAGTTCTCCCTTATTAGACACATGCTGTACTTAGCTCTGCATTTATCTAAATATGTATTTTTCTGGAGGTACTACAGATAATGAATTTATGTACACTTAAAATGTTTACATAAACATATTTGTTTGCATTGATTAGGTTGCAATCAGTGTTACTAAAAACCCCGTACTATATTCTAGATACTTGGAATACCTTTACTTTTATTTTACACAATAGTATAGTGTGAAATGGGTGGCAGTCACTCAGTTGGTAAAGCGTGTGTCCTCAGAGCAGAAGGATGGCAGTGTGAATCCTGTGCCCGACATAAACATTGTTGGTTGAGCAGATGGACTGACCCACAGGTTGGCAGGTGTGAAACAATGGTGATTGCTGCTTTGAGTCCTTGGGCAAGGCGCTTAGCCCCCCTCGCCCCCAAAGTCTGACAGACATACACAGCTTTGACTGCCTTCAAAAGTGTGTAAATGATATACGTAGATGTCAAAAGCTACGATGGATTAAAACAACTTGGTTCTCGATACTTTTTATACTAAATGTATAAAAAGTATCGAGAACCAAGTTGTTTTAATCCATCGTAAAAACAAAATGTATCTTAAAATGAGGACATTTGCATACGTCACTAAAAGTGACATTGTTTTTTGTAATTTCCTGTTGAACTTGCATCATCAAATCAAAAGGCAATATCAAAACGTTTTAATTCCGTTTTAGTAAAGTAAATATATTCTAAAAAAAAAGGTTTTCCCAAGCTACTCATGAATAGTTTTCTGAACTTGTTCTACAGTTGTTTCTACAGTTGCAATCAGACTTGAAGATCTGCAGTCGCGGCAGCATTCTTGTAGTTATCCCCTCGTAGTAAATGTTGACCTAATAATTTCAAATGGTTTGTATTCATCCACCTGTTAGCACAGTGCATACTACTGCAGTCGAAACTGTTGTGATTATGAACATTTGACCAGAGAAGCCCCTGGCAGTGGGACAGGGGGGGGATTTAGAGCACTGTCCAGACCTGGCAGAAGGCACACAGGGGCGGGCGGGGAGATGTCAGGATTGGCCTAAAAATGAATGAAATGTGGATAAAAAAAAAACCAGAAAACAAGGGAAATAGGACACAAATGTCACAGTGAGCGGAATTTGTAATAACTATTATTTACTTATGTTAAAGCTCAAATGTGAGCGCTGGCCTCGCTCTTTCTGCTCGCCCTCCCCGCACTCAGAGCTATTGCCCCCCATTCTCTTCCTTGTTGCACGAAAACTCGATCTAAAATAACACGCCAGCACAAATCTGCGCTACTTTTTCTTCATGCATTGCATGGATAAGGATAGATTTTTGTAATGAATACAAAAATAAAGTGAGGTAATGCAGCTTTAATCATTAATTAGTTTAGAATAAATATATGAGTCTGTCCAAATTTTAAAATTTTGAAGAGTTTTAGAATTACAACATTAGAATTTTTATTATTCTGATTATATTTGGTTTATGCTTTTGTTTTATAAATTACTAGCGCAGTTGATAATTATTAATGAAAAAAGTTGCATTGAACCAACTACTGTGTTAAGTAGATCTACATTAATATGCATGTCCCAATGGTTTTTTTAATGTCACTTTATTCACTCTTAGGTTAATCAAAATAGCATAATTCAAAGCCTACTGCCAAGCTCTGTCTTCTCAGACCAGAAACACACACTTCTACATAATCCAAAATTTTTTACAAAGGCGAGTTGACTTTGATTTTGACATATAAAAAGCATCTGCCTCATCGGTCAGGGCTCCAGCAGGATTATGATACTTTGAAGGTCTGTAATAACTGTTGTACATCAGACGGCTGTTTCATAAGTCACTCAGTAAAGTGACTTATGAAAACACAGAAGCATGTACGGTTTTTCAACCCAAAATGTGAAACCAATATATTACAGACTCATTGCCTGGAAAGTGCCATAACACAGGCTTTTGTTTTAATGTTGATGAGTACAGTCCATTTTCAGATGTTTAGTTTGGGTTTTTTACAAGCTGTATATAGCTGTAATATGACAAATACATATACAATATACATTTCACTTTGAGTGTTGTCTGTTATAAATCTTAGTTTCACATTGTAAGCTGAATTACAGAAGTAAATGGTCTTTTGAATGACATTCTAATTTTTTGAATTTCTTCTCGAGGCTGAATCAAAGTCATGCAGCGAGTAAAAGGTAGACACAAAGTAGCTTCAACTGTTTGGGCTACTATATCCGGTGATTGCGGTTCCCCATATTTTATCTGAAAAGTTCCTATTACTTACAGACAGACAGATAGACAGACAATCTTACAATATTATAATTTGCTGAAATGTTTAAAGCAGGGTGCCAATAAAAATGAACACATTTAATAATTATGTATTTATCAAAAATGATTACACATTCACTCATCTTCATCCCAACAGTTAAAGGCATGATTAACAAACCTTATGTGTCAACAATTAAAAAAGGCACATTAGTCATAATTTTAAAATATTAGACTCAATATTAGAAAAAAACATATGTTTGTATTACTGAACTGTGTGGACTGGTCACAGCTTTGCTTTCCCTGGTGCGATCTGTAGGTTTTGTAGTTTCATGGCCATGCCCATGTTACCTGTGATCTTCAGTTTTCCTTTGAAAAACGCCTGAAACAAAGATTCAAGGTTTAAAAAAGAAACAAAGCACTGTCAATAATAAACATGACCCAAAGGCCCAGTAAATATCATTCACATTTAATACATACCATTTGTGGGTTCAATTGTCCGGTCATCAGCTCCAACAGGTCTGCATCACTGGCAGCCAGAGTACAGTCAGCCTTGATGGCTGACACAAAAACAAGCGGCTTGATTTGTATGATTGATCATTATAAATATTGACTGAAAAATCATTATAAATAGGTTGTCATAGATGCCTGTTGTGCATATTAAGTACAGACAAGATAAACTGGCATCAATTGTGCCCGTGTTTGTTTAGAAAGTACAATAACCTGAATGCTATGCATCAAACAGGGATAACAAACAGCAAGACACCGGTTGTGCCGAAGACGATGCAAAGCTCTGCAAGTCTAATTGTTGTTTTGTAATACAGTCGTGTGCGCAGCCACCCCATAGGGAGGGTATTAGCAGAAACCGTGGCACTATCTCCAGATTTAAAGAATGGAGAAAGGCTACTTCTCAGCATCTACACGTTCATTGGAGTCGAGTAAAAGTCATTAGTATGAATGAGACGTTTAATAATACTTCTCATTGTTAGACACACTATACTGTTCTGATCAAACAGAAACCTGGCTGACCAATTATGTACTTTAACACACAGCGTGGAATTGTTTCACACTCCACAAATTCAGAGTGATTGAAATATGGATTAGTTAGGTGTGTTTATAGATTGCCTCAAATACTGTAAGGGATTGGAATTGATATTACTTCCAGTACTAAAACTGAAGAATAGATTAACTGACCTAATAATATTGCACAGGCAGTAACTAAAACAAATCTGTTAAAACCTATAATGTTAAACTGGTTTTGTGAAAATTATTTTTTCATATATGTTGAATGTAAATTCAATAAATACCTGGATCATTGCAAACAGATCCACTTCCATTTTTCACGTCCACGATCCAAGTCGCCTCTTTCCCCTCTGGCCCATCCTTTACTTTGAAGGCAAAAACTCCACCCACCTTTTTCACCAGCTGAGCTCCCTCCTGCAAACGTTTCAAATTACAAGGGGGACTATTTAGCCTTTTTTAATTATCTAATCTAACAATCCAATAAACAGTGGAATTTTGTATGAAGAATGTCATTTAATCTCTATAACAGATATTAAACCAATTCAACATGTCTATGCTTCAAACTCATAGTCAGATTAAGATAGATTATTACACTAGAGAGTAGCCCTCATAAAATCACATTTAGACCAGGACCCAGAACCCAGACCTGGGTCCTGGTCTAAATGAACAGGACTGAGCTCTGGCCTCTGCTGTTATACTGTATTTGAACAGACAATACAATATGTACTGTACAACTATTGCTCTGATCATGATTTTTCTTTAATAATTCCATCATCAAATAGTAGTGTTACCTTTTGGAGGTGATTCTCAATTTCTTTGAAGACGGAAAAAGATTTAAAACCTTCCAGATTGTTGCTTGCACTCGTAGCAATGGCAGAAACCATACTTCTGTGAACAAAATGCCATGTGACCTTCAAGATACAGTTTTTGTATTTTAACACAATAATATTGACACACATTTTGCAATATTCTGATGCGTTTCAGTATTTTTCCGCTTAATGATTGTCTGAAAAAAAATAATTATGAGAACCTTTTAGTCTCACAATGTGGAAATTATAAGTATCTGTCCTCTGCTCTCCCAACAAGCTTAGTTAGGGAGGCAGAGAGTGCTGGAGCCAATTATGTCAGAGGGCGCTCTGGAAGCAGATCTGGTCCGCATGCTTAAAAGAAGTGGTAATGTAATGTTCAGGTGTGGCTCTGGGGTTGCATGGGTATGACCATTCTCAGGTGGTAAAATTTGAGTTTAATTGAGTGTTAATTCAATGTATTGCTATAAGTTCACTCAAACTGCACGCAATCATCCAACAACAGTTCCACAACAAAATGCATTCACACAAATGCCAATGTTTTATAGTATTAAATACTTATATATAAATACTTATATATAATCTGCAAACAAGTACAAAGTAAAATGCAAAGCGACTTTATTTCTGTGCATGTCCTGAACGGCGTCTTTTAAGTTACATCAGCGTAAATAAAGAAACAAATCAGAGCAGTCTTCTGATCTAGAACATTTTGACAAACATTATTGTAATGCACCAACACTGAATATTTAATTTGGAATAATAGTGGAAAAATGCGTGTAAATTGTTAAACATCAGAAGTTGGAACCTTAATCCTTCTTTATAATCGGCTGTAGACCTTTACAGTCGCATACATAATGACAACTGTCACCAAAGAACACAGGAACGCTTAATCAAAATTCCCGATAATTTGCCAATGATTAGATTTTTTGTCTTAATTTAGCCGCATAGCCACACTTACAGATGTAAGCAACTCATGTCCAGAGCACAGAATAATATCAAAATAGATTATGTTCAACTGAGTCATGTCTAAATTAAACTAAAGGGGAAGGAAGAAAATTCAAAAGATTACATACATTGGTTTCCCAAAACAAAATTATTTACCTGGCATCATCCGCAAATCCCAGCCTGTAGAGTGTGACCACCGCTGCTCCTCCTAACCCGATGTTGTGTTGCAAGCCTACTTTTGCTCCTTTCACCTGCCGCTTACCAGCCTCCCCTCTGAGCTGCCAGCAGAGCTCCGCACACTGGGCTAGGCCTGGAAAATGGACACAATCCCATTCCCTCCATTAAGACCATTAGAGCCATTTTGTTCTGTCCAATGCTTGGTACTTTATTGTCTTTTTTTTTCATTCTCCGACAGTTTGAGCCGGTGCGTAGACAAGATGAAATAGAAGAAAAACTCCTAACATTTTGATATTATCTATGGCAGGGGTATTTTCACAGAGAGAACTCTGAGAAAAATGGCTGGAAGCTACTTCTTGTGTCCGGCAGAAAAGCGGTCAATCAAATAATAAGATCCTTAAACCAGGTATGGTTACTACTAAATCCCAAATGATTATCTGATTTCCAATAGACTGAAATAAACATAAATGTAACAATGTAAATGTGAGGCTTCCATCCTATTGGGTTTCTCTATTCAGTCTCTTCATGCAGCACATCCATTTTTTTCAAGGCCATTATCTCTTAAGGATAGCCCATCATCAGGGGCAAAGACACTAACTATTCAAAGTATGACAGAAAAAGACCCAAGAAGTCTCAGGATACCCGCATAAAACAGATCAACCCTTCTAAATTCATTAAAGATAACACATTTTAGTGTGTAATTTTATTTGCCAAAGCTTATGTTTTAACGTTATCATACATTGACACCCTATTTAAATATAGTTCATAGAAAAATGCAAACATGCTACGTTTTAAAACAGATCTGTAATGGCTCTCATTTATATCTCTACTGCAAGATGAGCTTCAGGCAAATTAAAGACAAGACAAATGGGAAGCAGAGTCTTTGTGATTTACAGAGAAAACTGCCCCCTCACAAAGCACACATGAATTACTTTTCTGACAAAATATTAGCTAAATTGTCAGGAATGGCGTATGTGAATGAAGCTTGTAAATTTTGTTAAAGAAATGGTTGAACACCTTGCATTTTTGAAGGAAAACATTGTGCATGTTGAAGGCATAAATAATGGATGTCGCGCTCATTAACTTTTTCCTCAGAGGACAAAATAATTTCATGTATGTAATAGCCTGCTTTCAGAAGCGAGTGTAAGTATACCTTGAAACTGTGATTGATTACCTTTGGAGAGGGGTTTGTGGATGTCCTTTCCAACATGTTTCTATTCACCAGAGTAATTATTTCGTCAAAGGTAAATGCAGTGGCCACCTTTGTGTAATACATAGAACAATAATGCCCCCTAGTGGCCTTTAGTTACAGCTGAAGTAACTCACTTTTTTCCTTTGATTGTCCTTACAGAAAGACTAGTAAATGTAAAATTCTGTGACAAAACAATGACGTAGGGTCGGAGTGTGCTTGGGTCTGTGTGTTGTCACAATGTGTGTGTGTGTGTGTGTGTGTGTGTGTTTAGTGTTGTCTGTCTTATACCATCGGTGGTAGTATTGTATAACTGTTTGTAATGTACCTTTGTATGTTTAAGAATTCTACTGCATGATATTGTTAAAACACTTTGTCTGATGGGGTTGGAACCAAATAAGCACTTGCTTCATCCAACTCCTTTTCGAACCAGGTACAGGTTATTTGTCTGTTATATTGATATATGTAAAAATATGTATTGTGCAGGTTCAAAATAAATAAAAATGTGTTTATCATATAATAATATGTGTCATCTTTTGCATATCCTGTGAGTCACGCTTTGACACTTAAAGCAGAGCGCTGATTGGTTGAGCAAGTGTTGTCTATTCTTTTTCCCAATGTTCTAGATGAAACTCCCCTCTTACCTGTGGCACCTAAAGGATGGCCTTTAGAAATGAGACCACCACTTGGATTGACCACAACTTTGCCTCCATATGTGTTGTCACCTCTGTCAATAAACTCTCCAGCTTTGCCTACAATGAACAAGAAAATAGTGATTAAAACTGCAGTAAAATGATTTGTTTCTCCATGTTTTACCTTCTGGACACAGGCCCAAAGCCTCATATGTAATAAGCTCATTGGCTGAGAAGCAGTCATGTAGTTCTACCACATCGACATCATTAGCAGTCAGCCCAGAGGAATTGTAACACTTTTTAGCAGCTATGTTTGACATGTCATATCCTACCTGTAACACAGACACAAGACACATTGACAGTGCAAAAAAGGGTTGTGGAACGTACCAGGCAACATACCATTTTAATGCAGCTGTTTTCATCAAACGTGGACGACAGATCTGTCACCATCTCCTGGGCCAAGATCTCAACAGATTGCATTTCCAGATGGTGTTTGCGGACAAAATCCTCACTCGCTAAAACTGCAGCCGCCGCACCATCTGAGGTGGGACTAAAACAAAAGAAGACAGATTGATTATAAAGGGCAACTAAACATAATCAATTTCCATGTCTCTTACCAACACTGCAGCAGAGTGAGGTATTCAAAGACCTGTCTGGAACCTTTGACTTGATCCAAACTATACTCAGCCTGGAACTGAGAATACCTGCACATATAAATGATGCCATTTAAAACCTTTTATATGATAATAATGGTCAGCGACAGTATGTCTTACGGGTTGTTGGTAGAATGCTTGTGATTCTTCCAGGCTATTTTGGCAAAGTGCTCCGGTTTTGTCCCTGGAAAAGATTGATCATTAGGAGGAAGGTGGAAATAACTTGTTTATGCATCAGTAAATAAACATACATTTTAATTACCATATTTTTCCATGTGCTCCCTTCCAGCGTTGCCAAACATCTGAGGTGCTGCTGGAGCTGCTGCCATGCCATAGCGATTAATCATAACCTCCATGTGTTTGTCCATCGGATTTGTCCTGTCCATGAACTAAGAAATAACAAAGTTATGAATAAATAATACATAAACACACCCACACATTGAGAGAACACAATTATGTTATGATAATAAGCAGACACAAGGGAACACTTACTACCATTAAGAACCTATGGTATGTAAACAATGTGTTTTACATATTAAGATTAAGAGATCCTTTATGCGTCCCACAGTGGGGACGAATAACTATTAAACTCTATTATACAGTAATCATGGATGATTTTCTCCTGTTGAATCCTGTGAGGGTTCTTTTCACAAAACACATGGCTGGGTCGGAAAAGGCGTTGTAAGAGGTTTTTTTAATTAAAAACTCTCAGTAGAAAAACAGTGGGAAATGTACAAAAACGTATTTACAGAGCACAGTGAAAAGTCTACAGGTGAAAAGGATATTTATAAAATATCATATACGCAACTTCTACAATAAGTCTCTTTCCCTTAGCTCCTCTAGCTCCTGCAGTCCACTTTACCTTCACTGTAACAGAGTCACGACTCCCATGGGGCAGACAAGCACACCTTTTGTACCCTGCTGGCCCCTCCCACATTACAAATCAATCATCTAATAAAACACCATAACTACAATACATGAGTATTTCCCTAGGTTCATGATTTCATATTACAGTTCCACATTGCCACATTTACAATAAAATACATTATGAGCTACACACTACAAAGAGTCCAAATGTCCATGCATGAGCTGTGGTCCACAAGACCCACAGACAGGTGCACTTAAGCCACTGGCTCCTTATGTCCGGGTTTGCCAAAACGCACCACGGAGACGCCACGACACAGGCGAGTGAATGACACATGAGATTTAACACACCATGCAACGCTTCCAAGTGTGCACCCTGAAGACGCGTTCACGCATGCTACATGTTACAAACACAGTCCCTATACTAGCAGTGGTCAATGAATGGGTGTGGGCGCGCGCAGCCACCATGGCACCGGGCACGCGCATCCTCACATGCGCTCCGTGGGACAGCGTGCTCAGTGACGGGCTCACCCCGTCACAAATCCATACAATTAAAACCTTATTTTGAGTCATCAATGTCATAGAAAAATATGTTGCTTTACAATAAAATAGAAATATTAACATTATAAATGATAAACAGTGGCCTGGCCTTCCGTACAATCCGGTCAATCATCATTTCCCTGCATTGTACTATGGTGTGCTACAACCATTTAATGGACAAATGGATAAATAATCAATGAATGTAATTGTGAGCATTGTACAACATTTAAGCTACTGGATATTTATCAATGTATGCATATCCCGTGTAGATAAGTTTGTACTGTTATGTGTTATGACTTATGTGTTACGTAATATGTTACAAAGATTATTGTTATTGTTATTGGGAGTTCATTTGGAAGAATTTTCTCAAGGGGAATACCTTGTTTTTTGCAATCTAACTATTCATACGTATACATGTATATTTGAAGTAATTAAGTAAGGAATAAAGTATTAACAAGGACCAGTGTTGAATACCTTTGCAGAAAGGGAACCCCTCTCCATTTTCTCAAATCCAAGAGCAAGCACACAGTCTGCCAGTCCTACCAAATGATATCAAAAGATGAATAAAGCCATTTGTAATGTTGAAAAAGCTGCTTAAGATCCCACCTAAGTGTCTGTATTACTGTTGAAACATGACAAAGTAACTAAACCTCTTGGACTCACCTCCCTGAACGAGCTGGCGAGCCATGAACAGAGCAGTGGAGCCGGTGGAGCAGTTATTGTTCACGTTGAGGATGGGGATCCCGGTTAAACCAAGACTGTGGTAAAGCGCCCTTTGTCCACATGTGGAGTCTCCTGCAGCACAGCAGAGATACATTTGATTTTGAAAAATGTATTACTTTTTGCTTTTATTCATGGGGCAAATTAAAATTAATTAAACAAAACTATTTGTTCTCACAAGCTTACAGTATATAGCTACACAACATTACAGCATATATTGCAGCTAAATGTTAATAACTCACATTGCGCGGATGCTTGATTAATTGTACATAAATTATGTATGTTGCATAAATTCTCACATTTAAGCAGAGATCACAGGTGAGTTGTGAAAAAGGTCACAAAATGGTAAAAATATAACCAATAAACAAACTATACATTTCACTTTTCACATAGAATGATAGAGCAAATAGCAGACAAACCAAACCTCAATGGGTCAAAGTTTGGAGTGTATCAGGTAATAAAATGATTATGCGAGTGTACTTGGCTTTACCATAAACATATCCAACACATGCTTGCTCAATAGCAGAATATGGGATCTTTGCATCAGCTAATGCCTTTTGACCTAAGAAGTAAACAAAAGAACAATAAATAACGTTAAAACTGTGATTGCAAAACCTGTTATTGTTGTGAGTTTAGCGTTTTACTCACCAGCTTCTTTGGCCATGTCAGGATAGTCATAATCATCTCTGGCTCCAGGCTTGTCAAACTAGAAGGTTGTATGAAGAATAACTTAAGTTACTTCATGTAATCATGTCAGATGTTTAAAGCTGGTGGTTATGATTGAACACTTGTAACTTGAAACTATGTAAATCTTTTGAATGGAAAAGGGGTCCACAATTTGTTGCAGGAAACTTTAAGCTGAACCAAGAAGGTGGTCATGAAGAGGTTACGCATACAGTCTTTACACACTGAACATGAACTATGGACAGAACAGATTCAGGCAACCTTTGAGCAGATTGAATAGTATCCAATACTGGTGTATCCCAAACCAGTTATGGCCTGATACATTCATTCATATGTAATGACAACGAAACAATACTTTATGTGAGAGCGATGGGGCTAGCAAACCTACATCTCTCTTCTAGGCTAATGTAAACATCGTCATTTCTGCCAGAATCAGCAGAATTATTGTCTTGTATAAAACACCGAGCAACATTTATCATATTTCTCGTCAACAAATGATGCCACTACTTTAGCCAATGCTGAATAATGGCGATATATGCTAACGAAAGCTATCAAAGTCAAGTCATAAAACAATGAAAGGACAAAGTAGCGTTACCTTTGTCATACCGACTCCGATGACAAACACTTTATTCATATTGGCAGGTGGCATAGTGTTGTTGGAGCAGCTGAGAGCAAAAGGCAAAGCTAAAGACCTGTGTCCCACTTCTACACTGACACTGACCCGTGAGCAACACAGATCGTGTATGGAGGAGGCGACGAGGATGTGTCACTCCGTCTCCCTCGTTAGTCAGATATCTTTTATGCAGTCAGCACCATGAGCTACCAGTGCATTTAGTATTTAATTTTAATCAAAAGTAATATTCAAAATTACTGAAAACGTAATTCCAGACTCGTGGCCAAACATACAGTCTATGGGCCAAACGCCTATACTGGGATATTCCAGAGCTAGAGAGCATCCAATATAATAGATCCATGGAGAGCATGTTTCGTGACGCCATCTTGGGTGTTGATGACAGTAGTCCATGGATCTATGATAACGAGCAGTAGTCATAGAGCAGTGAAAATGATGTAAGACAGGGGCATTATGGACACACAATTATATTATTGTTCAGAAGTCTACCTATCTGTTAAGACATTTATAGCATTATTAAATGTTATCTTTATTGGTAATACTATTATGCACAAATAACATGTATGTACATCATGAACCATAACAGAAATACAGGTATTTTTGTAATGTCACCCAAACTACTTTACAATTAAAAAAAACAGCAATTCATCCAAGAGCTGACACAGACAAACACCTAACACATTTTTTCTAGCATTTTATGAACTTGTGTGTCACTTCATAAATTCCTACAGATTCTTTGGCCTTCTCGTCGTAGTCAGTCCAGTCCTGAAAATGTTTATTGTGGTAGGTTTCACAATTTAAAAAATATTTCACATAATATTTGATACAACAGACTTACTTTTTCCAAGAGGCTAATTTCAGGAAAAGGTGTACCTGACTCGGCTCCAACTGCTGCAAAGCCAGCCTGGAACATGATGCAACAAATTCAAGATTTTATATAAGGTAATTATCTATAGATTCTATACTATATCCACATCTAATATTCCTACTTGTGGCCAGAAGTCAACAGGTTCTAAACCTCGACATTCAAATTGCACCATTGTCTTGAAGGTTTCACTGTCCTCAGCCTGAAACAGAAGTATTTAGATGCACTGATAAATTATAAAGTAACAACGTTGGCAGCACTAGGCAGCTAGGCCTACATGTTTTTCTGAGGGCCCAAAATTTGTTGCAAATTGCAATAATCCATGTCATCCACATAAAACTGGCATTATAACATTTTTAACCTAGAAAGAATTTATTTTTCAGGGGAGTTCTGGCCCCAGACAGAGGGGAGCCAATGTACATGTTTAAGTAGTAATGAAAACCGGAAGCTGACCACTCAGTCACTGCCGCCCATAATATCACAATCAATAAAACATCAATCTTGACAATAATCCATACTTACATTATATGGTGTAATTTTGCCCTCAATAATATCTGAAAACAATTATGTGCTCATTAACAAATATGCATTTCTAAAAATAGATTTAATTAAAAATGTGTTTGATACCAATAGAATTTTCCCTGGAGCAGAGTTTGCACTTTAGCACCATATTGGCACTACCTCGTCCACCTTTCAGCGGAGTACTTTCCTGCAACGATAAATTCAAAATAAATAATATCTTGCTGTGTTTCACTTAAATACATGCTTACATACCTCTAGATTTACATACTGCCATTTCTCAGAGATTTCTCCACAGTTGCCACACTTTATCTATAACAGATCAAAGTAGATTGTTCTTGATCATTTGAGGCACATTATCAGAATCATTGCCATGTTGCCATTCAAATCAAACAGTTGTGTTCACATTAATTAAAGAGTTCAAAGCATGAATAGTTCATCATTAGTAAATATTAAAATCCCTTGAATTACTTGTACTTAGGAGAGTAGAGTACTTAGTAGACCAACCCTAATGAGGCAGCATTATATTCTCCTCATCTGAGGAACACTCTTCCACATGAACTATATCACATAGTATATGAATATACACACACACATATATATATATATATATATATATTATATATATATATATATATTACACACACACATATCAGTACAGACCAAAAAAGTTTGGACACACCTCATTCAAAGAGTTTTTTTATTTTCATGACTGAAAATTGTAGATTCACACTGAAGGCATTAAAACTATGAATTAACTCATGTGGAATTATGTACGTAAAAAAAAACAACTGACAATATGTCTTCAAAGTAGCACCTTTTGCTCTGATAACTGCTTCGCACACTCTTGACATTCTCTTGATGAACTTCAAGAGGTAGGGACCTGAAATGGTCTTCCAACAGTCTTGAAGGAGTTCCCAGAGATGCTTAGCACTCTCGCCTTCACTCTGTGGTCCAGCTCACCCCAAAACCATCTGGATTGGGTTCAGGTCCGGTGACTGTGGAGGCCAGGTCATCTGGCCCAGCACTCATCACTCTCCGTATTGGTCAAATAGCCCTTACACAGCCTGGTGTGAATCTACAGTCAATCGTCATGAAAAGAAAGGAAACTTATTGAATGAGAAAGTATATCCAAACTTCTGGTCTGTACTGTATATACATTCAGATTCCGATTCATCAGATTCATTTATTACTTTGTCTCCCGAGGGAGAAATGTGTCTTGGAACTTTTCATAAAAAGAAAAGAAAGAAAAAAAAACAGACAATACATATAAATCATTATTACAGATGCATGTGTTGTGTGTATCTATTCATGCATTATATAAGTATATGCATATGCATATATATATATACTTCGATTTAAAGGCCTAACTGTATAATTCTTGTATACTTACTTTACCTTACTGTTGGCCTGGGAGGTAGTGATACTGTAGCACAACTTTCCAGGCTTACATTAAAGTAAAGTAAGTTTTAAATATTTATGTATGCAATTTTGCATTGCGGTTATCTCAGACCACACATGTTGGTCGATTAACTCATTGTTAACCAACTCATGCACTTGTTGTTTCAACGCCACCTCCTTTAAGTTCGTGTAAAAGTAAATATACATGAATTATCAATAATAACAACTCATATAGAAAATAAATATTCACTTATTCAAGTTTTTACCACAACTAGGGGAAATCAGCCCCGTTTTCAGGAACATAACAGAAAAAGCAAACAGTTCAGCTAGCTAGGCCACTCGAGCTTCAAGCTAAGCTTTCATGTTGTGTTAAATATGATTCTAGATGACGCTCATAACACACAGTTGTAGCAGTATGCTATCCTGTTCGTGCTATTTATGCTATACCTTCAAAAACCAACGAAAGTCGTCACCAACCGGCCGCACATTGGTGACATTTTCCAGCGTGGCTTTAAACTGCAATCCGAATTTCTGTTAAGCATAGACTTATTAAAACTGGGGAAACAAAATAACTTTGTGTCTGAGTAGAACATGCTACATGTACACACCACCATCTTGACGCCTTCACGGACACCGTTTGCTGCATTCAAGGACACACTGAAGTTGTACGATATTGCAGTTACAAAACGTGGTTTGTATTTATATATATATATATATATACACACACATAAAATAAAAATAAAATATAACACAAATAATTGTATATATATATATATATATATATATATATATATATAAAATAAAAATAAAATATAAAACAAATAATTTTATATATATATAAAATTATTTGCATATGTTTTTTCACAAAAATTACCGTTATGCACGTATATTTTTAAAGCCATATAATTTAAATACATAAAACTACAGGGCATGAGTCAGACTCGACTCTTTATTGATCAATAGTCAATTAGTTCAAATACAAAAACATCTGTCATACAGTACAAATTGCTGGTACAAATCATTCACACATCTTTACACAGAATAGTTGGCACAAAAAATGATAAGTGTAATGGGTATTTTATAGTTACATGTTCTCACTTACCTGAGGTAACTTTCCAAATGCAATTTGGCGAACACATTAACCGTGTGTCACATTAAATATTAGTTTAGAGTTAAATACTACCCCACTCACACTTCTCCCATAAAATTTGTTTTCATTTAAACACTCCTGAAAGTTATGAATTTAATCTAACATTTATTATGAATCAAAGAAACAATTCACTTGTTTGATGTGATCACCTCCACTTCAGAGGTTTATATAATTTATGTTTAAAACATGTAAAAGCCAATACATTAATTAAATAGATTCTTTGCAATGAGTCATGAAAGAACATTGGAGACACTTCGATGATCTGCATACAGATGCCAGACACTTTGAGAGCTCATCATTGATGATTCCCATAAGATACCTCTGATTCAAGTTTTTTCAGACAAAATAAACTGATTCCCTCTTTATTTGTTATGGGCATTGGCTTCAAAAAGCAGCAGAGGAAACAAAATACAACTGGAGATTTCCTTTTCGTAACTATGGAATAGCCAGAGACATTGAGCCATGTCTTCCTTGTAACAAAATACTGAAGCCTACATCCAACAATTACAGGGAATACCAAATGTAATAATTACTAATAAAAGGCATTTGATTCTTAAATATGCTGACCCTGAAGGGTATTATTTACAGCAATCCACACCCCTCTCCGCACTGAAGAGAGGTGTAACAAGGTCAATGGGGGCGGCTGCTCGACTCCGAGGTCCGTCGTTGTCGCGGTGTACTGTGGCCGTTCATGCAGCCATTGTGTCGCTTGTTCATTCCACCATTCAGAATGTCTTGAATGTGCTGCACTATCAAGTTAATGGCCACTGCAAAACAAGGATTGGTGACAACACATGAGCTACTGATGGCGTATCAAATCATTTTAGCAAATTATTTCAGACAAAAAATGTTAAAAATGACAATCAATCTATTTTAAATGTCATGCCTAGTTTTTAATAGGGCAATGACACCGAAACTTTGAAAAACAGATATTCAACTATATAATACATCTTCCAGACCAACATAAATTGGTATAGATTGCGATATTTTCTTCTTACCAAGGTTGTCAGCACCCCGAGGAATGATAACGTCTGCATATTTCTTTGTCTGAAAAGTAAAATAAGTTAACTATGATTATCTATAATAATTTGTAGCATAGAGTTGATTAAACTTACTGGCAAGCAGAATTCTTCAAAGGCTGGTTTTACAAATGTTATGTATTGTGCCAATACTTGTTCCAACTCTCTGCCACGCTGACCAATATCTCTGAGTACTGAAACAAAAATGTTATTGACATTTGTACATAATTGCAGGATTTTATATTTTAGCCGCAAACCTCGACGTGAAAGGCGTGTATCTGGATCTGTGTCAACAAATAGCTTCATTTGGAAGAGGTCTCTGATCTCCTGAGAATAAAACATCAGTATTCCCTCAAAGAGAACCACATCAGCTGGGTATACGGTCACAAACTCGTCTTTTCTGTAAAAACGGAACGTTATGGTGCACAAATGGGCCAATGACTTATACCTCACATGTGATAATGTGTTTCTCACCTGGAATGGGTCACAAAGTCATAAACTGGGATCTGAACAGTCTTTCCCTGCAGTATAAGTTTTAGTGTTTGCATGATCAGTTCGTTGTCAAAGGCATCTAAAAACAAGGGGGGGGGAAAACAGAAAATGTATTAACCTACATTTCACTTGACACCAGCGTGGTTTTCGACACGCAGGTCTCTTCACTGCATATTTGGTAATCAGGGAATCTCCAACGTAACAGATGCTCGTTTCAGTCACAGCTAAAGCAGCTGCCTCTAGAAAAGGCCTGCTGACTGTGTTTATTTAAAATCAGCCATGAAAGGAGGTTGTTACATGAGGCTAAATGAATGGTTCCAAAAAAGGGCCGGCTCTTCTACCAAATCCTTGAAGGTAACGCAGAGCTCACACCACCACAGACCAGACATTAAACGCGTGCCGTTTTAAACAAGCATGTCATATCTGCTGTTATAGGGTGTACCTGGATGGTCAAAGTTGTACTGGCCCTTTAGTGCCTTGGCCTTTTGGTCAGGAGTCAACACTTTGTAGAAGCTGTCTTGGCTCAGAATAGCCACCTGCCTCTGGTGATGATCAATTTTATTCTGCCCCAGCATTTCCATGATCTTCTCACAAACAGATGACTAAAAGAACAGATAATTATGGTTAAAGACAAAGCACAAAATAACTCTTATCCTTGTTCTCATCTTATTGCTGAATATTCAGCAGCCTGAGAATATGAATTGATTTTTCTCTCTTCTCATTCAATATCAAATAAAAATAATAACAATAATGCCAATTATGATTTTGTAATACACTTTGAATTTTTCTGGCATTAGTCATAAAAAACAAAAAAACAATCCCGCTTTATCTCGGCCATGTGGAGGCAGACTACGTTCCAATACTCTGATTCTGAGAGTAGGGAGGAGGGGCAAAAGGGGAAAAGGAAATAAAGACAATAGAATTTGCCCTAGCATTCGGTAATCTGCACCATAAACATAACAAAAAAGATTCACGCATAATTCACCTCGGTATGCAAATATGTTATGCTAATTACATTACCCCAAACAATACATTAAATTATGTCAAACAAATCAGTGAAGCAGAGTTTAAGCGCAACAATAGTTCAAATATATATGAGAGTAATGAAAAAAAGAGAAATACAATAGATAAAAATATCTTGGACTTGAGCTCGGGCTTCCCCCCAAAGACCATGCTTTGGCCATGTTTACAAACACATTCATTTCCTGAGGCGTGCTGTCGAAGCTTTATAAATAGAAGCCCTGGATGACGTTGGCTAGCTTTAGCATCCAGGTTAACCATTGTCTAACGGCTAACATCTGAGCGAATACATCTTATACATATAGCTTCATGGCAACACCCTTTAGTGTGATGTAATAGAATAAGTTATAAAAAAAATTATAATGTAGGGCACAAGAATGGTAAACCTGTCAATCACACTTCATTGTGAAACCCCTAAAGGCCACGCGGTCGACTCCATTTCCCGGCTGCTGAGTGGTATTTCATCGTGATCTGGCTGATAAATAAACTGTCAACTCAATAAACAGACTAAAGTAGCATGTTTGTATCTCACCTTGCCACTGGCAGTGCCACCGGACACCCCGATTAAAAAAGGCTGGTGAATAACGTGGTCATTTTGGGCCCGGTCTCTTAGATGTGTGTCAGTGTCCCCTGCCATGCTGCCAGTGTCCAGTCAGAGCTCCAGGGGCGGAAGATCAGCCGCGCAGCCCCGCCCACAACGACACGTCACAAATGCAATACATAAACCTTAACGAACATACATATTTTTAACTAATGTCAAGCCTAAAACACAGGTATTTGGATTGTAACAAGAATTTGTATCGTTTCACATTCATAATATTCTTATTTACAGACACACATGCGGAGCGCACAGTTCCGGTCCCGCCCACATACACACAGAGTAGCGGAAACTTTATTTTACTGAGAGCACTTACGCCTAAGGTCCTACAAACGCAGGATAAGATTAAAGTCGTCAATAAGCCCCTCTGAGAAATTTCTGTGCCGGAAACTGTTTGCATTTAGCTGTCATTTCATTTAGCCGCGAATTTGATCGTATAAAAGAGCAACAGATCCAATCTTGTTATGCTCCCGAGGCTGGCTTCGAGTCTGCGCCCTTATCGAGCAACTTATCTGGGGCTGGCGAGATGGCTCTCTTCTGGATCTGTAAACATCACGGATCCCCTGAACTTTTGGGCTGGAGAAAGGAGATCAAGTGCAGGAATAAATCATGGAGAAAACGTATATGAACCGGCAACAGGCGAGACACTCTGTTTTAACTTTGTTGCTTCATCTGACCTTTGAGCCCATTACAATTTTTGTTATTGTTCAATCTTACAGACTTGTATCTTGAAAAATACTTTTTTTCTTTGCAGGACGTGTTTTGTGTCAGCTACATGAATGTGGTGCTGAAGATGTCAATGAGGCCGTGAACAGTGCCAAGTCAGCATTAAACTACTGGAGCAAAATGTCAGGGATGGAGAGGGCGAGGATCTTAATAGTAGCTGCTCAAATTATTGATGTAAGCTTCTAGATCTTCATGAAAATTCTTCCAGTGTTGTTACAACTAATTTCTTTGTTGTTGTATAGAGTAGAAGAGAGGAGATCGCTCAAATGGAAGTTATCAATAATGGAAAGTCCATAACAGAAGCCCGTTTGGACGTGGATTCTGCCAGACTTTGTATAGAGTACTATGCAGGGTTAGCCAACACCTTGTCAGGTCCAAAATCCATCATATTTTACATTTACATAGATAGTAAATACTATCCTTCATAAGGTTTTGACAACCTTATGAAGGATAGTATTTACTATCTACAGCTGTCATTTGCCTCAGGTTCTTAATTTCATTAGGACCTTCCTGGTTAAATAAAGGAAAAAAGAATATGAACGAACTACTGATGCTATTAAAAGTCCATGCAATGTAGTCATAAATATGTTAGATTTCTGCAGGTTTGGCTGTCTGTTCACATATAATTTGGCATTTGATTTTATTGTCTTTTTTTATATATAGGCCAACATGTCCAATTGCCAGGTGGATCCTTTGCCTACACTCGGAGAGAGCCTTTAGGGGTGTGTGCTGGCATCGGTGCATGGAACTATCCTTTTCAAATTGCTGCTTGGAAATCTGCCCCAGCGCTTGCATGTGGTAATACCAATGTAATACATTGCTTTTATAGTAGTTGTAATTGTTTTCTAAGACAAAATTTCTATATCCCACAAAGGAAATGCTATGGTCTTCAAGCCATCACCAGTGACTCCAGTGACCGCAGTGTTATTAGCTGAGATGTATGTTCAAGCTGGTGCTCCACAAGGACTTTTCAATGTTGTCCAGGGTGGACAAGGAACAGGCCAGCTACTTTGCCTGCACCATGACATTGCTAAGGTGTCTTTTACTGGGAGTGTCCCCACTGGCAAAAGGGTATGAGTCTTTAGTCCAGCCAAGTCAATAGAATAGGGTGTAGTTGTTTTTTTGATTCGCATTTCCTTCACTTTTTGTTTTCCAGATAATGGAAATGGCATCAAAAGGAGTTAAACCTGTGACTCTTGAACTGGGGGGTAAATCACCTCTACTGATTTTTGATGACTGTGACCTGGAAAATGCAGTGAAAGGAGCGCTTATGGCAAATTTTCTGTCTCAAGGCCAGGTATTATCCAGTTAACCCTTTCGGCGCCAAAGTAACAGAAATTCAGTGTCCTGGTGCATTATCTATATGTACTTGTTTTAAGCCTCTTTCTCTTATTAAGCTGCAATCCCCCATCTTTTGTTTGTGTCACACAAAACTCTGGCGCCTAAAGGGTTAGTAAATATTTGACTTTTAGTGAATATATTTTTACATAGCTATTTCTATACATGTAAATCAACAGGTTTGCAGCAACGGAACAAGAGTTTTTGTTCAGAAAGATATCCTTCCAGAATTTTTGGAGGAGGTTGTGAAGAGGACTAAATTAATAGAAATTGGCGACCCACTATTGGAGACAACTCGGATGGGAGCGCTTGTCAATCTCCCACACCTTAACAGGGTCTTATCCTATGTCAATCAAGCAAAGAAAGAGGTATTTCACCTAGTTATGTATATGATTTGAATTAATGATAATAATATTGCATCGGTTTTATATAGCGCTTTTTGGACACTCAAACACGCTTCATATTATTCATTCACTGCATACACAGTAGTGATAAACTACTACTACTACTAACTATAGCCACTGTAGCCACTGTAGACTGACAGAAGCGGGGCAACCATTTTGTGCCAATAGCCCCTCTGACCAGCACCAACTAGGTGTTGCTGTGAAGCACAAGTGCATATGGTGAGGTCCATTTTAGCATGGACATGATTAGTATGATAGTTTTGGCTCCATACACTTAAAAGTGTAATGTACACATTACACTGATGTGACTCCTACACTGTGCACCTATAATGAATGCGGAATGTTTGTTGTTTATTTAAGGTACATATTGCTTCGTGGAGGTGAATTCACTCAACAATATGGATAATGTCCCAATACCTATCTATTTTTTTGAAGGGAGCAAAAGTCATGTGTGGTGGAGAGGTATTCATCCCAGTGGATCCCAAACTTAAAGATGGATACTACATGACTCCCTGTGTACTTGGTTGGTTAGACGCATGTGTAACCTGTAATTCAACAACATTTATTCTATTTTCCAATGCTTGTATAAGGAAACTAAACTAGAGTTTGTTAGGAGACTGCTCTGATGAGATGACTTGTGTAAAGGAGGAGATATTTGGTCCCGTCATGTCTGTGTTGTCATTTGAAACTGAAGAGGAAGCACTTCACAGAGCGAATGACACTAATTTGGGTCTTGCTGCCGGAGTTTTTACCAGGTAAGTCAGATTGAAAATATTTGGCAAACTTGGTAAGAAAAAAAAATCAGTTTCATTAGTACATTAGAGAGGCACGGGTTGCTTTTTCAGACTGCTATGCAAAGACACTGTCACATTATATTTATATTCGATTATTTATTTAAATCTAGCACATCATCAGACACAGGACACCAATAACCAAGGGGATGGATGAAGCATATGGTTGCATGATTCCAATCCCCTCTCACAGATTCAACATAAGAGTGGTTTTGAGCTTTTGTATTTGCTACCGCCTCCCAGAAAATGTGGCCAAATTGACTCAACTTCATAATTATAGGGATGTGCGAAGAGCCCATCGAGTCGTTGAACATCTGAAGGCTGGTTCCTGTTTTATCAATAATTATAACATAACACCTGTTGAAGTGCCTTTTGGAGGCTTTAAGATGTCAGGTACCAATGAGTGAATTACTAAAGTATATTTCACTTGTTTTTATTGTTTTAATAATCTTGTTTTTCTTATATTATCAGGTATTGGACGAGAAAATGGACAAGTCACAATAGAGCATTATTCCCAACTGAAGACCGTTTTTGTTGAGATGGGAGACGTAGACAGCCTTTTCTGAAAAAAACGTGAATTTTGTCAACCAACAGACATTTCAGGTCTAGGATAATGTTTTGTTCACAGCGTATCAAGAAAATGCCAGAAAATAATTGGTGTTAATTGCCAAGAATTTATTTAAATGAGAATATAAATTATTAGTGCACTAAATATATTAGATTAATCCAGGTTAAGGGGGGCACTCGTTATTAGAATATATCCATGGAGGCACAGTTGATAAAAACCAAATTGACGCCAGCTCTAATTTTGACTATTTTTTTAAAATTATAAACCATAAACTCTGTGGCTACTTAATTTACATGTATTCTTGCAGATTCAAAGGACACACACAATTCTGGTCATTTTCAACTAGATATCTATCGATGTAATGAGAGGAATTTCTTAAAACCCAAACCCCTTCTTTGTATTGTCCATGTTTTCCACGACTCTGCTGCGTTTTACAAAAAGTCAGTGATCAAGGTTTTCGCTGAAATTTATTCAAAAGGAATACAGTGAAGGAAAAATGTTTTTATGTTGTCTAACGTTTCAAAATAATATCAAAGACAAAAAAATACCAATTTGACAACAGAGCAACAATGTGAAAGTAATTTGGATTAGGACCAAAATGAAATTTGCTAACATTTTCTTTTCCTTTTGGTCTGATTCCGATTGTTCGTCTTGATAGTAGTATTTCTCTGTAAATAACATATATTGTCTTTTATTTGATCATTTACATCTTTATAATCTGCAATAGTTCTTGTCCTTTTTACCTTTGCCAGAGGTCGTATGGGCTTCTTGAACTGTGCTGATTCTATTTTGAAGAAAAATAATTGTGATGAATATTGAAGCGGTATGATTAAACAAACTGGAACCGTACCGTCTTCTGAAGGGACCTCCTCCTCCTCTAACTCCCTTTTTTGATAATCCTGTGTTTTCATAGCAAACATTAGACAAGGCCTTGGGGAGCATTTTCTAAGTGAAATGACTAATTATCAGACTGACCTCATCATTTTTCTCAAGTGCGGTGTCTCTCAGATGGTTTCCTTCTTGTAGTTTGGCCAGTCGACCTTGTTCTGCCGACACACGCAACCTCAATGTGTGAAAAGGTGTGTGAACGTCGCCAACCTTCAGATGTGGATGGAACACTGAATCAATTACAATTTCCTCTTAATATAAGACTTTGAATCAGTTCCAACCTTAAAGTGCACGGCTGTGCCTTCAAACCACAAACTGTCACATTTGCCCTCTTTGAAGCCAGGTGGTTCGTAGTCCTCAGGGGTGGCTAGAAACAGTAAGTAATCTTTATTCATACGGTGCATTTTTACAGACCAAGGTCACCCAAAGCGCTTTACAATGTTCAGAGTTCAGATATAGATTTCATTCTTTCCACACGCTGATGATGAAAGCAAGACGCTGAACACACTGGTGCATCAAAGCCCCCAATCAACACCATCCATTCACTCATTACATTCAGACCTATTTTGCATGTTTTTAGTGGTAGGGAAACCAGAGGAAACCTACGCAGACACAGGGAGAACATGCAAACTCCACACTGTTATTCGAACCCAGGACCTTCTTGCTGAGAATGAATGGACATTGATATTGATAGTGTCTCTTACTGTCATCGTAGTAGTAAAGCTTCATGGTGAGGTAGACATTGTTGGGGAGGGGGCCTAAATTCTGCATAAGCAAAAACAGCTTCCTGATCAGCAACACAGTCGCTCTTCTTGTGTCCGCTAGAGTCACTTGCATCTGCACAGCATTGTCCCTGTATAATTATAATAAATAGTAAATATTTCGTAATAAATTAATTACATATACATTAACAAAAAACTTGATGACCTGATTATGTTAAGCTGTGGCCCCTTCTCCGCATATTTAAATTTGAACTGGTAGGACTCAATTATGCTCTAAAAGAAATAAGCTGTTTTTTGTATGTTTGAATTATGACAATGACTTTTAGAAGTCTGTAACACTTACATTAGGATCTTCAGGGTTGGTGTAGACCTTCAATTATCACAATGAAGTCATTAGGCATTGTTCTGCAGTATGTGAAAACATGATCATTTCATAACTTACCCCGATGAACACAATCTGAAGCTTAAAAAGAGAAAATGTATATAATCACACACAAAATTAACACTAAAATAATAAAAATAGATGGCTTACATATTGCTTTTCTAATGCATCAAAGCAGCCCATCATCCTGAAACATGGAGATGAGGAGTATTATACAATATCTGGGCTGGAACAATGCATTGTTGAAATGTGTCCATCATTTCAGAAAGCACAATGGTCTAAATGTATTATATTATACTGCATATAAATAATGCATTTATGTGCTACTTTTGAAATATGATAAACATTGCTGCATAAGTACTTAATTAATGTTTATTGGTGTATTTCCAAACTAAATGACACATACAGGTGTTGTACTAGTGCTTTTAAAACATTTTTTTTTTTTTTAGATGGTTTCTGTCCTTTGATTATTTCCATGGAAATATCCCTTCACCAAGAAGATTCCATAGTACATACATACATTGAAAGCTTATATCCCAGCCCAATAAAATATTACCATTTCACAACTTTGTTTGCTCCAGGGCTCCCACAGTCTTCACGCAAGACTTTAATGCACAAATCTAAGGACAGAAGATACAGTAAATAGTTAACATAACATTACTGACACTTCTTGGTTGAGTAAAATCCATCATTAAACTATTTTCTTGCATCTCTTTTGGCCTCTTACACATTCATCTTTTTCATGTAAAAAGGAAACCCGCCCTCACCCAGCTCTCAGTATTCAAATAATGTTTTCTAATAAGATTTAAGACTTTAGGTTGCGTTAGTTTGAGACTGTGGCACTTTTATTCACCTTCCAAATATCTAGACCTGTAGGCGTCCTCCGGGAAGATTCCTCTCAGATACGTGATGGAGGACACGGCCACCGCCATCATCCTTTTCACGAAAACGAGCGACGCCTGCTCCGTCTTCATCTCCCCCTGGAATAACCCTGTCCACTTTGACAAAACATAACAAACTTCAAACATTACATCTTCCTTCAGTCTTCCAGCAGAACCATAGGGCCACGTCCAGGAGTGAGACACCTGAAGTACACTCTGTAAGGCACAAGATGGCGCCACAACCCGAGAGGCCTGGACGTCATTTACAGTCTATGATTTACACGCTATTTGACATTTTAGGCCAAAAGATCGTTTCTAACACATTTCACATACGACTTGGTTTAATACAACTTGCCTCTACTGTCTCCTCCTTGCTTTTCTTGATGCACATCTTGCTAGCAGACATCTTCACCGTTAGCTCAGTTATACATAAAATGAACCACACCGTGTAAAACGTGTCTTAATGGCGTTTGCTTTCAAATGAATAATATTACAATTATAAAATCTATCAAGCTGCAGTTAATAAACACCGATTATGTGTCAATCATGGTTTCAATTCTACCCGAGTTCCCGCCTTCTCCGCTGCATTCAAAGTCTTATAAAACATACGGAGCTCTCGAAAAACTCATGAGAAAAGTTTTACAAAATTTTTGTAATGTATTTATTGTCACAATTAAAATTGATTTCACACAGATTTTGGTGATGCATACAAATATATATTACCAATTATTAAACTGATTTAATATCAGAACAGATTTTTTTCCCGTTATTACCACTGTTTTGTGAAAGGCTGATCCCCACCCCTTAATCTTAGGCCTTTTAAAGCTAGAGTACCTAACTTTTTCTTTTGCTTTATGAATTACATTTATTGTCTTTTTCTATGTAACATAATGTGAACAAAGCAGACAACATGCTTTCTTCATCTTATTAGAAAACATTTTATCTTGATCTGGTACTCATTTTTTACTGAAATGTTGAACATATATTACAGAGCTTAGTACATACATGTAAAATCTAGTATATAGTTATTATTTGTGGTTTTAAGTTAACTTTAGGCCTACTGCAGCTTTCATTTAATATAGTACTGTGAGTTGTATATATAAATCATATTGTTCAGCATGTGGGTGATCAGAAATGGTCTGTTTTTGTCTACCCCTATTCTTTCCAACATATTCCAGTCAGTAAAAACAAACAGACACAAAATACAATAAAAAGTTAGTATTACAAAAGGTACATTGTTCACATGACAAAGGTGACATCGATATTCTTCTTTGAGCTACAGCAGGCAGCAGATCTTGATTTTTGGTTTATTGCTGCTTGGAAAAAAAGTCTTTACTTTTTTGGACGTCTGGCTTGATGGTGTCACTTCCTGGTTTCCAGCCAGCGGGGCAGACTGAAAAGATAAGCCAGTAATGAGTTCTGGCTCAGAGGACAAAACGGCAGACATGCACCAATATCATTGGAACCCATATGAATACAAATTAAATTTTCGAATTAAATTGTTAGTGTATTTTTTATTTCTGAAATGTAAATACCTTCTCCATATTTGTCAGTGAACTGAAATGCTTGGACCAGGCGCAAGGTTTCATCAACAGAACGACCCACTGGGATGTCATTTATGGTAATCTGCCTCAAAATGCCTTTGTTGTCTATAATAAAAAGTCCCCTAAAAATGCACATTGTAAGAATCAATGACACCGTTCAAAATGACAAAGACACAGGTTAATGTGTGAACAGAGGAGTGACCTGTAAGCAATGCCCTCATCATCCTTCAGGACGCCATAGTCTGTGGAGATTGTGCGCCTTGTGTCTGATACCATGGGGATCTTCATTGAACCCAGACCCCCTTGCTTACGTGGGGTGTTGCACCTGAAATAACATAAATAGGAGTCATATGAAGACCTCTTTACCCTGTGAGTAAGTGATTTCCTGCTATACTTGCCATGCAAAGTGTGAGAAGTGTGAGTCCGTGGAAGCAGCGATGACTTCACAGTCAATCTTCCTGAATTCGTCTGCTGCATCACTGAATGCAATAATTTCCGTTGGGCACACAAATGTGAAATCCAGTGGATAAAAGAAAAAGACCACATATTTCCCTTTAAAAAGACAATAACAGTCTTTATAAACATGAAAAAGGTTTCATTGGAGTCTAATTATGTGCAGTCTTTGTGGTGCAAATGTGTCTCAATTAGCACCCTACAATGGGTTGCTGGATCAAACATGCAGCCCTATGGTAATACAAGATACAGATGGTACAGATACAGATAGAAAATAGCATGGTGCTACTGTATATCTGGTGCAGCCATTTTTTTAATGTAACTGCACATTGTCCTTAATAAATTAAACTTAAACTTAAGATGTATGTACTTTTTGATGTATGTTTACCTCTGTAGTCAGACAGCTTGATGTCCTTAAAGTCCAGGTCTGGCATCAACGCTTTGGCTGTGAAGTCGGGGGCCAGTTTGCCTATTTGTGCCTTGCCTGCAGACATCTTTGACCTGATGAAAAAAGGCTAGATTCAACAAATCTTCAAAAACCCCGACATTGGACAAACTTTTGGAGGGTTGGTTATTTTTAGACGATTTCAATTGTTGAAAATAACAATTTTGATAATAAGGTGCGAAGTCGGCTGTCATAACAGGCGTAGACACAATGTAAATCATAGACGGCAAAAATGTCACTGAAAAAAATTACTGTTGAACATAAAAGTATAGAAAAACATAGTATATCAATGTGAAACCCCAACAGACTATATTATCTAAACTCTTATCGTCCTGCTCTAATGACACTTTGATAACAGTGACGTACCTCGCTGAAGTTTGTGGTCTTAGTAGACGGAGATGAGTCCGAAATGAGCATTGAGCTGAGAGGGCGCTTTATATACTCAGAGCAGTGGCCCCCAATGTCGCGAGAGAAAAGAAACGAGATCCTGCATTTCTTAATTGCAAAGCCCCACACACAGCATGACTTTGCGAATTTACAACTACATGTGGTCACGGAACAAGGATGTAGGTTGATATTTTACAGATATGATTTCCTGTCACTTCCTTATAACACAGAGGGCCCATAGCACTGCCGAAAGGCCACACAAAGATCCACACTTGTGTGCCTTAATAGTGAGTCATTGTTTAATTTATCTTTTATTGGTGACATTTTGGTTTAAAACAGAACAGGAATTACAAGTATACTCACCAAAACATTTGCAAGATGTCATGTTAAGCCAATGAGCCAAATCATTCTGACAAGGCTTTGTGAGCTTGCAGTTTTGTGCTCATGCTTCCTTCCCACACATGCTTGACTCAGGGTGCTTCTCCTCACTCCATAAAACTACATGCAAAGCATGGCTCCAATCAATCAAATCTCTTTAGTCAACTATTTTTTGTTCTGGTCCAGTTTTAGTCTATGAAATGTTCATGTTAACTCTTCAGGCGTAAAGTAGCAGGATTGAGCCCGTGAATCTAGTTTATGGCGACCTGGCTTTCCACAAACAATCCTCTTCATTTGGAATGAATTTAAGAGATGTTTTGTTTTTATTTTATCTTGTTTCTTATTTATCTTTTTTTAGATATTAGTAAGTTAGTAAGTAATGGTTATTTATATAGCGCATTTTACATCAACAGCATCCATTCACTCCCTCATTTACATTCATACCTATTGTGCATGTTTTTAGTGGTAGGGGAAACCGGAGCACCCGAAGGAAACCTATGCAGACACGGGGAGAACATGCAAACTCCACTCAGAAAGGCCCTGTTACGACCGGGATTCGAACCCAGGACATTCTAGCTGAGAGGCGAGAGTGCTATCGAAAAAAAATTGGGCTACTTTTAGTCGAATAAATCAACCACATTATTGTCCCCTTTTTAATCGAATGTATTCATTTCAAATCTGCTCAGAAAGAAATGCTCAGCAATTAAATGTGAAATCCAACCCGAACTATTAACTACACTGGTATAAACATGAGTCAAGAAAGCACATTGAATAATGCTGTGGGTGGCACATGCACTTGGTGGAAATAATTAACACAAAGATGAACAAAGCAGAATAAATTAGAGAAGTGGTGTAGTGGGATTGTGTTGTGGTGGAGGACGAAACAATTTCTAAATAAACAAAATTGTTTGTTTCTTCGCCTCAAATCTGAAGAACACTGCGATCTGCATCCAGCTCTTTTCCCATTTAGTGGTCGCTATGGCATTGTCCCAACGTCTCCCAGGCAACCCATGAAGTACTCAATAAGAGGTGACACAAATAATGATTCTCAGAATCTCCCCGGATCAAACGGCCTCATGAAGGTTTTGTGCCACTGTCACACACACAAGCAATACATCTGTTTCCCAAAATGGTGTTTCCAAAATACTATTTGTGTGTTGCATTGTCAAAATAGGAGATTGCTTAGATTATCACTGTGGCATTGAACATAATTTCTTATGTTGGATCCTTTGAGTCTGACCTCTGGACCTAGTGGAGGTTTGGAGCCTTGGATGGTGCTTCCTTGGTTGGCCCAAATAGCTTTTAGGGTGAGTGCATGCGTGAGGATCGATGTAGGAGGGAGTTATCTGTGGGCTGTTTCAGTGTTTTGAATTAAATGTAAAGCACTTTCTAGCTTTACATTTGACAGAGGCTCAGTTGGTAGAGCATTGGCTTTTGAGACTGAAGGTCGCGGGTTTGATCCCATCACGAGGCCTTCTCCACCGACTCCCACTGATGTCTGCTGTGTCCTTGGGAAAGACACTTGACCCTGCTTTGCCTGAAACCCTCGCTGAAAAATCAAGGCTACTGTCATTGATAGCAGCCATTCTCCTGTGGACTCTTCACCTGCAGGAGGATCAGTGAGGGGCTGGTGCACTGTGAATTGGGTGCAGCTCTGACTGCTACCCCCCAACCCAGAAATGGATTAAGGCAGTGTTTCTCAAACTGGGGTACCACTAGGGGTACGCGGGCGCCCTCTAGGGGTACGCCAAAGAATTAGTGAAAAAAAAAAAATCAGTGAAAAAAAAAAAAGTCATTTGAGGACAACATTGTTTTTCAATCTTTTCCTGTCAGTCTGTGTCCCCTGTATCACAGTCTGCGGTTTGGCTGTAGACAGTATTTTATTAAGCCAGCAGGTGGCAGCAGAACTCCCTGGTTTGGTCAAAGATCACTGTCTGAGCACTGAGCAGGAGAGACAAAGGTGAAGCAGACATGGAGTAAAATAGTCAGGGTCAGGCTACATTTGGAGGCAGTTTGAGCAGTAAATGTGTCTCCAGAGCTGACAGAGACCATGTGGAGGGTCAGAGCAGCAGACCATGTGGAGGGTCATAGCAGCAGACCATGTGGAGGGTCAGAGCAGCAGACCATGTGGAGGGTCAGAGCAGCAGACCATGTGGAGGTTCAGGGCAGCAGACCATGTGGAGGGTCAGAGCAGCAGACCATGTGGAGGGTTAGGACAGCAGACCAGCAGTGCGCCCCAAAAAAGCCACAGAAAAGTGGGCTATTGCTAAAACTATCACTGAGTCCACAACAGGAGCCAGCGTCAAAGTCCAGTTATGGCCACAGACTAAACAGACACTCTGTAGATGTAACTACACAAAAACACACAAACGCGTGCATAAACACACATACATGCGCGCCCAAACACACAAAGACACACAGCAGTATTCTCTTGCACTTATACAATAAGTATAAGTGTTCACGTTGATATATGGTCATGTATAGTGTTTATCATTGTAATTTTGTTATTCTTTGATTTACTGTTATTGACATAAATACAGCGCCACCTAATGGATGAATACTGGACATTCTTTCTGCCATAGTTTTTCATGGGCTCTACTTTTAATATGTACATTTTGACATTTTTTGGATGAGTACATTTTGAAACATTCGAGCAACACTTTGTGGATGTGTGTGCCATAAAACTTATTATTTTATATCAAAAACACTTTTTCATAACTTGTTGCTGTTTTCTAACATGTAAGATCCTGGACATGTTTGAGGAGATGCTAAAGTCAAACTAAATAGTTTTACAATCACTTTTCTGCAGTTCGCCTGTTTTCACAAACACCTCATTTTCTCAACTTTTTTCAAAGACTGGTGCTTTTTGTCACACTCTCCTCTTTTCGACTGGAGATCACAGGAGAACGAAACAAACTAAGCACAAACTTCTTTTTGCTGCTGAAAGTAGACAGTCCTGTCTTTCAGACTCTGGCTTCATATTTTTCATAGCACACAATATTCTGTGAGTCTTAAAAATCAGTGAAGTCATCAAAAATGGCTGGCAGTCAATGAGAACCTCTTTTCCGTGTACAAAAATTATGTAAAATTACAGATTATAAAGCAGTCAAATACAGATTATACAACAGTAACACAAAATTTCTTAAAATTACGGATTATAAAAACAGTTACATTTCACTGAAGCTGTCTCAATCTGGATCTAAAAGCATTCAAGGAAATAAGATCAGATCCTTTCTAGTCTTTTTGTAACACGTTCCATGTACTGTAGAAGGAGCAGCAAAAACAAATGTTTTTTTTCCCAGTTCTGTGCAAAAGGAACAGAGAGCAACAAAAGATCATTTGATCCAAACATGAACATGTCTCTGTGAGTAAATGGCAGATGTAAGAGGGCAGCAGACCAAGCCTTAGAAACTAAAGTGCACCAAACCTTCTGTGGACAAAGATCCCACTCCAGAATATCTCTCACAGTGAGGCTTTGCAGTTCGCAATGAATGAAACATTTTAATTGAATCATTATTAAATCAATCAATCTTTTTTTTTTTTTTTTCTTACTGTTGAAACTGTGTAAAATATTACATTAAATATACTTCTTTAGGAATGAAACCTCTGCCTGGTTTTTGATGAATACTTAGGCTTATTACGCTACTGTGTAGTGTTGGTCATTTGTGGTGGTACTTGGAGAGGCAAGTATTTTCTGAGGTGGTACTTGGTGTGAAAAGTTTGAGAACCACTGGATTAAGGGAAAGAAAACAGATGGATGGGCACTTTAGAGCTTGCCTGGCCTGCCAAACGATATGCTTTTTCAAAGACATATTCTTCTTTTGAACAGAAAGGAGGAGTGTCTGGCAGGCCAGGCAACTTTAGAGCTGCCAGTGTTCTATAGAGACATGGTGAGTTATGACCTAATTGGTTTGATTGAAGTAGGATAAACACCATTTTAAAAAAAATAAAAAGTAACAAAAATGATACTGACAAATTGTTTCTTCTGCTTGAAGGTGGAGGTCAAAGATAGCGCGTCTTATATGAGAGTGAGAGAGTGATCATATACAAATGTATAGAAATGTGCTTTCCTCCCTTTCACATTTTGTTTGATATGAGTATCTAATGAGGTGGTAGCTCATGGCCCTGTAGCTCATGGCACTTTGACTATAACTTTTGGACCATATTTACTTCTGGGGAAAGCTTTAGAATTCCTTTCAATATTGTATGTTGAATAGCCTATGGATTGAACAATGTTTGAATGCCATTTGTGCTCCTTTCCCCTTCTATGTGTGTCAGTGAACACAGGCGTAAGCTCACTCTGAGACACTGCGCCAGTGAGCTTACTTCTGTGTTCACTGACATTTTCAACTCCTCTCTGCAGTCCTGCCATGTCCCGGCCTGCTTCAAATCCTCCATCATTGTCCCCGTCCTGAAGAAGCCCAGGATCACAGGACTCAACGACTACAGACCTGTAGCACTTCCGTCTGTCGTTATGAAGTCATTTGAACGCCTGGTCCTCTCCCATCTCAAGTCCCTCACCTCCCCCCTCCTGGACCCCCTGCAGTTCGCCTACAGAACCAACAGATCTGTAGACGACGCCATTAACCTGGCCCTCCACCACATCCTACAGCACCTGGACTCCCCGGGGACCTACGCCAGGGTCCTGTTCGTGGACTTCAGCTCTGCCTTCAACACAATCCTGCCATCCCTGCTCCAGGACAAGCTCTCCCAGCTCAACGTGCCCGATTCCACCTGCAGGTGGATCACTGACTTCCTGACAGACAGGAAGCAGCGAGTGCGTCTGGGGAAGAATGTCTCGGACTCTCGGATTATAAATACAGGAGCCCCACAGGGCTGTGTTCTTTCTCCCCTGCTCTTCTCCCTGTACACCAACCACTGCACCTCCAGCCACGACTCTGTGAAGCTGATCAAGTTCGCGGATGACACCACCCTCATTGGACTCATCTCCAACAACGATGAGTCCGCCTACAGGAGGGAGGTGGACCGGCTGGTGTCCTGGTGCAGTGGTAACAACCTGGAGCTGAACGCCCAGAAGACAGTGGAGATGATTGTGGACTTCAGGAAGAGCACTGTCCCCCCGCCCCCACCCTCCGTGATGGACTCCCCCATCACCTCTGTGGAGTCCTATCGTTTCCTGGGCAACACCATCACCCAAGACCTCAAGTGGGAGCCGACCATCTGCTCCCTCATCAAGAAGGCCCAGCAGAGGATGTACTTCCTGCGGCAGCTCAGGAAAGCCAAGCTGCCTGCACAGATGTTGGTGCAGTTCTACACGGCCATCATCGAGTCTATCCTCACCTCCTCCATCACCGTGTGGTTCGCTGGAGCCACAGTCAGGGACAAACAGAGACTACAGCGCATTGTGCGCTCTGCAGAGGAAGTGATCGGCTGCAGCCTTCCATCGCTGCAGGACCTGTACGTTGCCCGAGCTCGAGGCCGGGCTGGTCGTATCACAGCCGACCCCTCTCACCCTGCACATGGACTATTCCAACCACTCCCCTCAGGCAGGAGGCCGAGGTCCATCAGGACTAGAACCTCCCGCCACCTGTCCCCCCGCCCTTTATAAAGTCACTTTACTGCCCATCATACGTCACTTTACTTCACTGTACTGCTGTCACCTTACATTGTGTGCACCATGTGCACTTGTATATTGTAAACAGTAACTGTAACTTTTTAGAAGTGTTTTTTATTCTTTATTTTTTATTATCTCTTTCTGACTGTTGCACAGAGCCAAAGCAATTTCCAAGTCTGTGACTTCCTGTTACCTACGTGGCAATAAAAATTATTCTGATTCTGATTCTGATTCTATAGCATTTAGAGATTGCCTCAGGATAATTGGTGACTTGACTAATTGGGCCCTTGTGTCATATGCTGATCATACACAGCAAGACATTACTGCCATTAGCTTGAGGCCAATGGGGAGGGTTAGAATGTTTAATGGTAAGAAATTACTACGTTTTCATAGCAAAAAAACAATAAAATGTTATACATCATACACACAAAATATTCCTCACTCTCACAGTTGGCTGTTTGGTTCCATACCTAATTTTCACATGCTTTTGTGCTTGGCCTCTGTCACATCTTTAGATCAATTTTTTCAGTGAAATAGAGAGTACTCGCCCTCACACAGCCAATTAGATTTAAATTTATGAAATTAAAGTAAGATACAACAGACTTTCACCTTTCACTTCCCCCATAGTTAAACAACTAAACAGTACCTTATTTAAATTCAGCCTTTCTCGCAAGAACTCTTATATAAAAGATACATTAATCAAAGAAACGTATACTGTACATACATTTTTTTTCTTCGTCTTAATTACCTTCATATTTTGAGATTAATACTTTGCAAACCAACTTCCTCTCACACTGAAGTTTAAATATATACAGTCTATGGGTTGAATAATACATCTATGGTTTTACTGTTGTTGCCAACCTCAAATCAACAAAATAGTCCAAGCTCAGTCATGCATTCATGTAAAAAGGAATGATTGAATCCAACACATTCAAGTTGGTTGAAGTGAAATCCAGGCTTTTCTCGGCTGTCAACAGTCAAGGAGTAGACTGATATTATAATAGATCCATGGTTGTCCCTTTAAATTAGTCTCCCGCGCTGAGTCATTTGACCGGATATGACGTCACACCATGTATGAATATTTGGCGCCAAACTGCAGCATCAGAGCATTCCTTCCAAAGCCGCCAAGGACACACACCGACCCGCTGCTCCCCTCACTGTAGTGTCCTCTCAAGTAAGTAACACGTTTGACACCGTTTCTGTTTATGTCTCACAGCTGTGGTCACATGTAACACTTTAAGCCTTTATGAAAGTTTGCTGTAGTTTCTCTCGGCAGGCGTCATGGAAGAGGCGAACAAGCTAATTGGCCTGGGCAAGAAGCACCTGGTAATGGGGCAGGTGGTGGAGGCGGTGAACTCCCTCCAGGAGGCCTGCGGCATGCTGTGAGTGTTTATATCGAGTGTGATTGCGTTTTTACTCCCGGGCATTAATGGGCTGTGTGAAGTGGCCCCAGAACATGTTCCACAACAACTACTCGTTCATAAAGCGTGTCTTGTTAAATGACAAAGACTTTTTGGCTGAATTACGTTGTATTTCATATGGTATGTCCTTTTTCACCAATTTGTGAATTTGAGTTTTTGTGCCGGTTTCCAGATCTTTAGGTGAGGCCAAATGTATTAAATCTAACTGCAACTAGTCGGTTTTTATTTTAAAATGCATCTTTTTGTTATAAAACTGTTCTCGGGGCCTAATTGCATTTACAATTAACTAACCCATTTACTTATTAACTATATGGCAATACATTAAGTGGTGTAAAGTTTGACATCTTTCTACTTTTTTTTTTTTTTTTAAATGAAGGATTCAGTCATTAAATTTCTTTTTTCTTTAGTGCAAAGAAATATGGTGACACGGCAGATGAATGTGGTGAGGCCATGTACTGGTGTGGTAAAGCGCTCTTGGACTTGGCTCGGTATGTTTGTAAAAACTTGCTAATCCTTTTGTTTTTAAAAAGCCCATAAATATATTTTGTATTGCAGGATGGAAAATTCAGTCCTTGGGAATGCGCTGGAAGGAGTTCCCGAGGAGGAAGAGGAAAAATTGAAAGACTCTAATGTGGAAATGGAAAGCACAGAAAGTCTTGATGGTATGGTGAATTATTTTAATAGTTGCTGTGCTTGGCTGTATTGGAGTGTACTGTTACCTGTTAATAACTTGTGGCCTATCTCCTTACGTAAATTCAGAAAAGGCCAGAGATGAGTTGCGTGTTCAGGTCTATGATGCCATGGCAGAAAAACCAGAAGATGCGGAAAAGAATGACTCGACACCTGAGAAATCAGATGACGTCAAAGAGAAAACTGACAGCACTTCAGAAGTGACCAAAAATAATCCCACAGAAAAGGAAGAGGACTGCACCACTACAGAGAAACAAGAGCCTCAAAGTGCTCCTGCAGAAGGGGAAGTTGAAAACAAAACAAAATCTCCGGCCAAGGAGGACTCGAGCAAGGAGGCCAAGGAGGACTCGAGCAAGGAGGCCAAGGCCAAGGAGGACTCGAGCAAGGAGGCCAAGGAGGACTCGAGCAAGGAGGCCAAGGAGGACTCGAGCAAGGAGGCCAAGGAGGACTCGAGCAAGGAGGCCAAGGAGGACTCGAGCAAGGAGGCCAAGGAGGACTCGAGCAAGGAGGCCAAGGCAAGGAGGACTCGAGAGCAAGGAGGCCAAGGAGGACTCGAGCAAGGAGGCCAAGGAGGACTCGAGCAAGGAGGACTCGAGCAAGGAGGACTCGAGCAAGGAGGACTCGAGCAAGGAGGCCTCTCAGGAAAAGGCAACTGATGGTGATTGCAAAGATGATGCATCAGCAGAGGCTGAAACTGAGGGGACAAAAGCAAATGAAGCTGGAGAAGACGATGTTGAGGAGGGTGAGGCTTGTGTGAATGTTTTATCAAGTCTTCCATTTTAAAGTTCAAACTGCAATTGCCCTTTACATATTTTTAGAAGGTGAGGCTGATTCTGATGAGGAAATGGATGATGGGGAAGCAGATGATAAAGCTGAAGGGGAGGACACTGCTGAAAAGGTAATGTAAGGAGTGGACATATAGTAATGGTGAAAGGGCACTAAACTTGTATTCCACTGGTTAGGGAAGTGACGATGAAGAGGAGGTTGGAAACTTGCAATTGGCTTGGGAGATGTTAGAAGTTGCTAAAGTCATCTATAAAAGGTTTGTTCATTAAAGTGGTTGGCTTATAACAGTAATCTGTACATTGATCTGCCCTGTAGAAAAGATACAAAAGATGATCAGCTCATGGCTGCACAGGCTCACTTGAAACTTGGAGAGGTTGCTGCGGAATCAGGTAGTTTGATCTCAAGTAGGTTAACTCAGGTGGCTTTATAAGGTGGCTTTATAATGTCTTAATTTTTAGGAAATTATACCCAAGCAATTGAAGATTTCAAAGAGTGTCTGACTCTCCAGCTAAAACACCTGGAGTCAGACAGCAGACTTCTGGCTGAAACTCACTATCAGCTGGGACTGACCTACAACTTGAACTCTCAGTACAAAGAGTCCATTGAAGAGCTTGGCAGCTCGCTCTCTGTCATTAAGAGCAGGCTTGGTAGGTCAATTTATGAAGCTGCTTTAAAATGTTTGCTTTCAACACAACATGCTGCTTTCTCCAGGAAAATTACAAGACCTAATTGATAAAGCGGAGGGCCCTGATTCTCTGGCCGACGAGCGAAAGGAAATGGAGGAGCTCAAAGCACTGCTCCCTGAGATCCAAGAGAAGGTGGAAGACTCTTCGGACGGTCTAAAGAATGCTAATAAAGATGCAAAGGGTGTCTTGGTGAGTTTGTTTTGTACAAATGTGGTATGCTGTGTTTGACTATTTGTTTTACTAGGATAAGGAGTCTACTTCAGAAACGGGTGAAAAGCTGACTTCTACCAAGGTACTTTGATGCATGCGTTACTGTTGTTGAAGTTGTGCCTTCATTTTTCACTTATCTTATAGGCTAATGAAGCATGTGAACAAGCCACAGCATCAGACATTTCTCACTTAGTGAGGAAAAAGGTAAAGGACAAAAGGTAATGATTTCATGAAACAAAGGACTCATAAATGTGTTTTCAGAGAAAACCAGAAGAAAGTCCAGTGAAAGAGGTGAAGAAAGTAAAGCCAGATGATGCCCAAACAAACTGTACCAAGGAGACAAAGTCCAATGGCCATAGTAGTGACCACACTAATGGCCAGAGTGCTGGCATGGAGGTGGAGAGGTGAGCAGTCAGGCTCAACAATAGATTAACTTTCCATTGTTTCTCTACTAATGACTTCTTCTTGTTTTAGTAACTGACAGCGTCCTAAAGCCAGTTTGTGTCCATTAGTTGTTGCACATATTTGACTGTTTCATGTTTGTCTTGAATGCATTTTTAACTAATAAAATGACTTTAAATAAACTCTTTCTGTCTGGATCATTACATGATATTAAATAACTTGAATGCTGTTTGAAAGTTATCCTTGGATGAAATCAGAAACCAATAACTGCAACAAACTTTATTTGTGCATAATACTTTACATTTGGGTGGCACTTAAATGTAGCTCTTTAGGAATCTTATCCTTGATTGCATAGCAATTTGAGAAATAAATTCATTTAAACCACTTTAATGTGATTTTTCTGGCCCAATCTAATCTTGGACTTGAGTTTAAAAATATTCACTGATCAGTACAGACTAGTGCAAACATTTTAGTCTTTATGTAGGTTTTGACCTGTCAAGTTTGTTCTGTTTAGGACATGTCATTAGAAAACATTTGCACAATTGTAAGCGCTGTGATGGCTTGGAGTTGTACTCTGTGACAGCTTAGTTGGACCTTTACATTCTGTGAAGTTTCAGGTTATCAGCTTGTAGTTTTCAAAGTTGCATCTAATGGAAACTACTGCATAATATTTTGTACAGTTACTATAAGTACATAATGTGAACATAACTTGTATTTTGGCAGTGTTCCTAAAAATGAGTTAAAGCTGGATTGTAGTTTAGATGAATTACATCCGTCTGGCGAAAAGATTTTGCATAGTATATTAAATACAATGTAAATCATTCATTGTAGAGAGTACTGGTACATTTTCTTGGGTACCATTAGAAATGTCACAACCAAACTTTTCATTTGTGTAAGCCATTTTACCCACATCTAGAATGCTAGGAACTTTGGCATTGTTTGGCCTTGGAAAAGTCCTGTTTTAGACCTGGGTTAATGTGCTTGGAAGGCCAATTGTTAAAGCAAGTGGTTCTCATAAGGCAAGCTTTTGACACTTTGAAATCTTAACCAGTCCAACTTGGAATCTTCCTACAGTGGTGGCTGAGTTTAGGTCAAACTGATTTGAATAACATTTAAGTGAAAGGACAATAGAAACATCAATCCAGGATGGCTTAAAAACCTAAAATGTTTACGACGGATCATAAAAATCTATTGAGTAACAGTAAACTAAGAAAATAAACCAAGCGCCACAGGTTCATATTGAAACAGCTTTTCAGGAACCAATTTATTAATATCATTAATGTGTCATCAGCATCATCAATGAAATGAGTTAGTCTGTTTAAAGCAGAATCACATGTGCATTCATTGCCCTTCTTTTCTTGACAAACACTTCAGTTCAAAAGCAGGAAGTAAAGAAGGAAGGGGGAGCCACAGGGCTGCAGTGAAGGAGGTAATGCAGGGAAAGTGACATCTGGCAGAGCAGGAATCTCCCCCTTCACTGGGATATGATTGGTTTTCCCTTGTGCAAGAACAACAAAAAAAATCAAAAGAAATTTAAATGGTGCTCTAAAAACAAAGATGATAGGAAGTAGGCATTGCATGTTGGGATGCTGTTGGCTGCCAAGTTTGTTCCATAAAGCCTTGTTAGGATTTGATACAGTCATCATCATCATCAGAGGTCTGGCTGCTGCTACTGGTGTCGGACTCAGATCCTTCTTCAACATGCGCCTCCGCAACACTCCTCCAGGGGGTGAAGTGGAGGGTAACGCCCCGCGCCCTTGGAAGAACCCCATTACGCTGAATGCCATTTTTCTTCAACTGGAAAACGGAGACACACATTAGTAAAGAAACCACCATCAAAAATAAACGCTCCACACTCACCTGTTCAGTTTTTGTCTGGAACTCTTTCAGCTCATCTTCAGTGAGAGGCAGGAAGTTGTCATCGTTCTCTGGATACTCCTGCCAGCCCATGGCTTTCAGCAACCTTTCAAAATTTAAATTGAAAATTATTAACTAAATGTTTAACAAATGATTAGAAAAATGTGTCAGGTCCTACCTGTGCTCTGCCTCGAGGGAACTCGACAAATGTTCTGTGTCTGAATCACTCAGAGAGCAAGACAGACCGTTCTCATGGACCTCCTCACTGTAGGCTTTGGGCTCTGGGGTGCTGCTTTCGCCCTGTAGATTGCAAAGAGAAAAAAAAAAAACTCAAGTAAAAATAACATCACTTCAGTAATCCACTTGATTACACAATAATAAAAGTGTCCCACCTCTCCCGATGTTCCAGGGCTGCTGCTTGTGGTGAGTTCACCGGTGCCCTCGTCTTTGAGAGTGCGCAGGAACTCGCTCTTACGGTCAGGACCACGGCGCATCAGCTTGAGCCTCGATGGTGCAATGTCTATGGGAGGTGTGGTGCTCGAAGGGTGCTGGTGCCAAACAAGATTATGAAAAGTTGTAATACATTGTGAATAACCAACAATAAGTATGACAGCATAATAATGTGACTTCATAATAGAAAAGGTTTGTATGACACTTTGTTGAGTGTCATACAATAGCCTCTCCATCTGAAAGTAAGTTGAGACTGTCATTTTTCGTGACTTCTGCTCACCTCTTTTGGGGCGTTGTGTTGTGGGGCACTGTTTGGGGTGCTTGGTTTGGCTGCAGACATGGGGCTGGTGAACACAGAGTCTCGACTGGCCACATGAAGGCCAGACTTTGAGACTTCTCGTCCTCCAGCTTTCCACTGGGTGCTCTGTGAAGACACACACACACTTATTCCGCTGTAGAAACCTGCACCACTCTTTGTGGTGTTTATAAATATCCGGTGAATGGGTCCTACTTTGGTTGGGGCCACGGCAGGTTTTGGGACCAGGTTCTTGTAGACGCTAGAGCCAGTGATGGGTGCTTTGCCGTTGGGCAGAGCCCCAGCAGTGGCAAAGCCTGCAGAGAAGGCAGTGCTGGAGTCCTCCTTGGAAACCTTTTTGATAACCAGCATCTTGGAAACCATCTGTTTTCCACTTGGGGGATTTTCTGGAATTCACATCAAAGTATTTAAAACACTGATGAACTGTTGTGGGTTTCATTTATGTCACACTTACCCCATACTCCAGCATGTGGTGGTAATGCTCGTGTTTGAGTTCCATGCTTTCCAGTCATTTCAGGGTTGAGAGAAGGCTTTAAAAAAATATATATACATAATTTTTACACATGGATCCAAATATATGTAGGATTACACGTCTTGCCCTTAACTAGTGTTTTCTCTGTCAAACATTCTCTGTGCAGGATAGACCGCTTAATAAATGTGCTGCTGGAGACAATAAGACAAAGATCATTGTCCTTCTCATGTGAAGAAATAATTTTACCTACAAATTCAAAAAAGTAAAAACATTTCCACCATGTGGTAATGTAAGTGATATTGCAGTTTAGTTTAATTAGTTATGATGAATTCATATTCACCATCCATTTCTATTTGATTTTTTAAAAGATATATTTTAAATGTTTTTCACTCCAGAGGACGTATTATAAATATAGAACTGAGATAAAAATAGACAGGAAAAAAAGTAACCTCATTTTATAACCACTACTCAGTAGGAAAAAGTCTAACCCAAAGACGTTATCTGTCTAAACTCAAACTTGTTCATACCTATGACAATGTTTACTTGTCTTAGCCGTTTGAAAATTGGATATTGAAGCTTTAAATACATTGTGCTAAATAAACTAAATCACACAAATGTCTCCACGTCTTTGTATTATTCAAGCGTTAAGCCTCAGCAATTGTTACTCTTTTTGACTAATAATATGATGGGACTTACAAAATCCTCTTCCACAAACTTGAGCTTGTCGTCCTTGTCTTTGCGTTCCTCGTTGGGAAACTTGTCCTGATACGAGGGCCCTTTGCGTGGGTGGAAGTTGCCGTTGCGCTGCCTGTGCCCCGCCTGTCTGTCCCTTTCACCTGCTCCCCGCTTGGGTTGGCGTCCCTGATGGTGGAGGCTGTCCGGGGCTCCACGTGGAGCTCCATGCCAGCTGGGAGTCTCCTTCCAACAGGATCCCCCCACAAGACCCCCCTGCCCCCCTTTGGCCACCCCAGAGTCCACAGAGTCATGCCTCAGAAGCTGCTGCCACCCATCACCTTAAAAAGAATGATGTGAGAAAGAAAATGTTAACAAATAAATTTTTTTTAATATTTTTACTTAAAAGGAATAGTTCACCGTTTTTACATACTGACATATGTTCTTACCTTACCTTAGACTAGTTAATATGTACCTGTCTGGTCTTAGTCCGTGCGCTCTGTCATGCAAACGGAGCAAAAACGGGAGCAAACGCAGCCTCCTCTGTATACTGTATAGTACCCAAAAGGTAGCTCCCGCTAGAAGCTACCAAACTCTTCCAAGTGTTCCCTATTAAATGTATATAGTTACGTGACGTGTTACACTGCAAAGTATAGTAACACAGAAATGTAACAGTCGATTTTCTCAGCGGATAAAACAGGTACTATATTGTGAGGCGTAGTAATCTGAGGAGCGCTACGTCCGCGCACTAACTTCTCTCCGGAGACTTCTCTCTCGCTCACTTCCGTCAATAGAAGCAGCGTGACTTGTAGAACGGAGAGAAGTTAGTGCGCGGACGTAGCGCTCCTCAGATTACTACGCCTCAATATAGTACCCGTTTTATCCGCTGAGAAAATCGACAGTTACATTTCTGTGTTACTATACTTTGCAGTGTAACACGTCACGTAACTATATACATTTAATAGGGAACACTTGGAAGAGTTTGGTAGCTTCTAGCGGGAGCTACCTTTTGGGTACTATACAGTATACAGAGGAGGCTGCGTTTGTGCTCCCGTTTTTGCTCCGTTTGCATGACAGAGCGCACGGACTAAGACCAGACAGGTACATATTAACTAGTCTAAGGTAAGGAAAGAACATATGTCAGTATGTACAAACGGTGAACTATTCCTTTAACTAGTACTACTTAAAATTGAATTTGTTTTGTTGCCCACCACACACACACACTTCATTTTTTGTGGTTTGGAAGTTAGATACACAACTTTAAGTGTTCTCTTCCATATCAGCTAGTTTGAACATAGAAAATACAAAATAATATATTGCTTTTTTAAAGACTATACTTTTACAGCAAGATAATATTTTTAACAAACGATTACTCATTCCACATGAGTTTGGATATTTTTATTAATCTTGAATAATTAAATCAATGTTTGGATGGTATGCTTGTCATTGTGAAATGTGTTTATTGAACAAAAATAGACTTTTGGGTAAATGAAGGATCTTACCTGTATTACCCGCTGGAGCATGGAGGGAGCCATTGTTGAAAAAGCCGTCAGAAGAGTTGTGGCGGCGGCGGCTCGCAGATGTTCGGCCATCTCTGTGGTGAGGCTCTGCTTGTTTCTCGAGGTTTGCAGCAGGGGACTGAACAAGGGTTAAATTAAAATATAAAACCACTTAAATGTAAGACACACGTCACATGTTGTTGTCCCCCTATAGCTTTTCTGATTCTGCCACCTCAGTCATGGTGGTGTAGGTTTCTACGTTTGGTTAGTCGACCCCAGGGAAACTGGCTTTCTCACACACTACATATTTGATTAGGCAATGAGGGTCACTAGTTACTTACCTTGTACAGTATACAACAACAGTTTTCACTATAAAACCCACAACATCCCACTGAGGGACCTAGTATTGCCAAATAATCAATAAAGTATCATCAAAATAATATTATTGAATAACATGACTCTAGGTGTATTGCTAGAGGCATCTTGAATTCTTTACCTTGGCAGGCTGGGGCGTGGAGAAATTAAGCCAGGCAGGGACAAAGTCATGCTGCGCCATTTAGGTCCAGTGTTTCCGGTCAGTGGAGCGAGGCATCAAACCTCATGGCCAGGATCTGATAAAACAGAAAAAGTCAAAAAGACGTTTTACACTTTTGTGCATTTTTCCCTCATTACACGGTAGTAAGCCAACATTGTAGTCACAGCTGCTGTGGAGCACTGGTGCAAGATTTTGATTAACCATCTATGCAACAAATACTACAGCAAATAAAATTATATAAAACTTACACATAAGGCATTGCTAAGACAAGAAATGTACATGTCACATTTGGCATGGATAGAATTACTCAAGATTGTGCAAAAGACAGAAGTACGCAACATGTTAAAGGTAAAAGATGTAGTCTGTGCAGAATATATTTTGAACAATAAAGTGGCAATTAAAGAAAGAGTGGCAATAGCAGTGAGTGCAGGCTTTTCAGTCCTAGTGCTATCGTTGAATACTGCGATTATACGATATGATAAAAAAAAAAAAATCACCATATGATATTCATGTGTATGTTATTCCTTTTTGCATATATCTGATTTGCTTTTTGTAGGAATTAAAAGATGCACATGATGATTAAGACAGTGACAATTCTGAAGTGAGTTACCCCAGAGTGCGAAGCTCTGAAGTCCTTTGCCTCCTCACGGTCTGCTGGGCCTCGCTTCACAGGCCTGTTGGCGCTGGATGCGGAGTGGGTGCCTTTGTGGTTTGATCAACCTAGAAAGTTCCTCTCGCACTTTGTCCAAGGTGACACAGCAATGTTACCAAAATCTTGAACCAGAATCCCAATCGCTGGACACTTTGGGACGATCTACATGTGTGTCTTTTCCAACAGAAAGAGTCTCATTCACATGGGTTTTTGGTCCATCTATTCTTATTAAACTCAATATCGATCGTCAAGTATGATTGGACTTTGAGGGGATTGGCAAAATCGTTGATGATCCAGATCGTATGACAGAGCAGTGTTGTGTATGGAAATGCTGTGGAATTTGACACAGTTGTCCTGCCACACTGTGTGCCAGTATTTTTTGGTGTTATCTATTATCAAATCATTGTAATGTCTATTGATCCAGAGATGCAAAGAAAAGTTTTCAGACAGTCTTCAATTGGAAACGAGGGGCTTTCAAATTATGCTCACCTCATTTAAACTAGTGGTATGACTGTCTTGGAGTAACAAAAATGAATGCATCAATATTCAATGTCACATGACAAAGAAGGAAGAAACACCTTCGGTTACATCGCTGTCATTTTTGGCTCTGTTAATGAGACCTTAACATTTCCAAAAAGATCATTCTGTCAACTTGATATTAGTCACATCATATTAAATCAGCTCCAGTTTTTGTTTAAAGCAATCAGATTTGGACAGTGAATCAATTATTCGAAATATACCATTCTGTTTCATACCAAGAGATTATTACAATAAGCAGCAACAAACTAGTTGGTTGTTTTTTCTTGAAGAAAAGGGTTTATAGTACAAGATAGCATATGTCCCGTTCATTGGATAGTATGATTTGTTGGTGGTCCTTCTCTCCAATATGGTTCAAAATGGTGCTTTAGGACAGAGTTGGTCCAGTTGAATTTTTAATATTCAAATACGAAGAGTGAATCTGAAAAACAAGTAAATCCACAGTTAGTCTGTGTATAAGCTATTGATAATAGCCTGACTCGAGTACAGTTACAAACTTCAATCAAATGTTAGATTAAGCTGGTTATCAGACTAACTAGCAGACGTATATTAAGGATTAGCAATAACATGTTTCAGTTATTTTTAAATATGTAAACAAAATGCAAAAGGTCCGAGATACAGGTTAATGCGGTGGGATGAACTATTACATAACAACTCGGCATCAGTGCCTGCCACATTTACGAGCTTTGGCCATTTAACAATAACAATTACTTCCAGGCAGAACTATTTCAACACAGATGAATAGGTGACCTTTTGATACCAACCACAGAATCATTCTAAAGAGCGACAAGAAGATCGCAAATTATACACACACACTTAACATGCACGTTTCTCGGATAGCTAACAAGGAATTGTAACAAAACTAGAAGAAGGGAGGCATCCAATGTCCCATAATGCGTTCTGCAAAATAGCATATTCAATTGTTAACGTGCACGCGTGTTCATTGTTTGGTGATTGTGATTCTTGCCAACTTTAAATGTTTGTCTTATCTTCAAACTGAGTTAGCGTTTTGCTGATAGCCAGATGCTAGCGTGTTTTAGCCAGTTTCGAGACACACGAACGCATGTACGCTGGTACAAGAAACTCTATAATTGACTTAGGAACTATATACAAACGCATTTTGCACATCAACAGTGTTTAAAAATCAACAATTAAAGAAACATCGGGACCAAAGTGTGGAGGTAAACAGACCTGGCTTCGTTGAACCAATACGTTTTCAAAATGGCTACCCCAGCAGCGGCAAGCAGCACACATTCATCATCTCGCTAACAGCTAATGCTAACTTTTCGGGTTTTAATTACGATACCTGCTTTTGAGTAATTTAATATATGTTTAATTGTTTCTTTGAAATATTTTTGGACTTTAACAACAAGGTTATACTTTCACGTCACCACTAACCTAGTAAATATGACGACTAGACGTGTTTGTTTGGGTTTTCAGAGCGCTTACCAGTGGCCCTGGCACAGAGGGATTCAGAGTCTCTTTAGAGCTGCATTCACACGAAGCGTTTTTATGCAATGTAATAAAACTCAACAGGTGCGGAGAAAAATATCAAAGACCGATATTTAACCAGTCACGATAACAGTAACACAACGTGAATTTTTGGTCCAGACTTTTTATTGAGACTTGTTCTTCTGTGCATTTTGTTTTGTCGGGCTTACGTGTATACAACACTTTTCTCGTGAATACAACTCACCATCTCCGCCGCCAAACCAATCGATAACAGAACCGCAACTCGTTCAAGGAAAGTAAAGACCAAACAGGCATTTCATAGAACGTCGATAAATGACAGCTATCAAGAGGAACGACCTCTGGACCTTGGAGCAGGAATAGCCCACAATACCTTGATTTATTTTACTCCGTTCGTAAAACGATTTCTGTAAACTGCTGCACGGATAATTCAAGTTTCGTGCGATCGTAATGAGCTGTCTATTTGTTTGCAAGCACCAGTTTGCCAGGGTCTTTCTATTTACTTGAATTTCAGTGCAAGGAATATTGCATGAGTTGTTCTGGTTTGTTTCAGGTTAACATGTTAAAGTGTGGGTTAATTAGAGCAGCAAAGGTAGGCTGGACAATTCTAATGTAAAAATAGATAAAAGGCTAGGCCTAATGATGAAATGTTTAGAACAATACTGCATAACCTTTTAGATGTATCCGCATTATACTACCAATAATGTTGCTGATTTATTGGGGGAACATCTCAAAACACAAATTAAAACAAACATTTCTATTGTTTCATTAATTATCTTCAAATGAGCTCTGTATATCAAACAGTTAATCTGCAATCATATAAAGTATATTCCAGTCTCTCAAACTGACGAATTCTCTCATTTGCTATAGAAGCCCATATGTGACATACATTAAGTGGTCTGATAAAGTATTTGCTATAGATCAGGGGTCCCCAAACTTATTTCCTGTGAGGGCCACATCACTTTTTCCTTCTCTGATAGGGGGTCGGGTCAGTTTGTAACAGAACAAGTGTGACAATTGCATTAGTGCCTAAACGTAAACATGTATTGTTTTCCAGAAAGCACAATCAAATGACCCTTTCTGGATTCTTCACAGAAAAAAGTCCATGAGACATACACTTTGTGTTGTGATTCTCAAATCATTAATGACAACACAAGAAATAAAATTAAGATTTCTTTAGGGGCCTTTGTGTAAAAGATGTTGGATATACTGTAGATTTGTTGTTGACAAAACTGTTGTCTATTCAGTTATTTTGGTCCCAGCTGGATTCGTCAGCACACTGTATCTGGTACTTATTGCTCCTTTAAAATTCCAATACAACTTATGTTGCTAGAATCTTACTGCATGTGATGTGACACATCTGCTGGAATTTAGCAAGAAACTCTACAAACGTTGTGTATTACGCCCCTGTGGGTTTCAGTAAAATAATTCAACTTAACTTTCACGGTTTGTCTTGATAACATTCGAGTTTGGTGTCTTTTTGAAAGTCTGAGATTTGGAGGGTTGAAATGGGGTGGGGTCACACCCTGAGCTCATAATGACCAAAGATTAATGGAGATAGTTAAAACAGCAGATGTTTGTTGTAATTTGATCCATTTTCAAATAACTATGGTAACCATAGTGAAATGGTGTACCAACAAAACCTTCTGGCTCACATGTGAAACTCTTCTATGACTCTGTGGTGGCATCAGCCATCTTGTACGGTGTGGTCTGCTGGAACAGCAGTATCACAGAGAGGGACAGGAAGAAGCTGGACAAGGTCATCAGGAAGTCCAGCTCAGTCCTGGGCTGTTCCCTGGACACAGTGCAGCAGGTGGGGGACAGGAGGGTCCTGGACAAACTAACATCTATGCTGGACCATGACTGTCACCCCCTGCAGGACACTCTCTCTGCTCTGGAGAGCAGCTTCAGTGACAGACTAATTCGCTGTGTGAAGGAGAGGTTCCGTAGGTCTTTCCTTCCTGCTGCTGTCAGACTGTACAATAAGAACTGCTGAGCCTGTAAATTTCATTCATCTGTAATTAAGTAAATTCTTAAATTATGTGCAATGTGTAATACTGCAACTTCAGAATGTCACAGAACAATGTCACTTTACCTCATGTCACTTTACTTATATACTTTTTATCCTGCACTATTTAACTGTACAGTATATAACTGCACTACCACATATATATTTCTTGACTGGTATTGAAGCATTTTCAGCATCTACAGCTAGTTATGTTAGTTAAGAAACATAGCTACTACTTATTTGTATATAGTGTATATATTGTGTGTGCTCCCTGTGTGCTCTTACTACTGTCCTATATGTGCGATGCAACATCGAAATTTCCCCACTGTGGGACGAATAAAGGAATTCTTATCTTATCTTATCTTCAAAAACAATCCCAATAAATAATAAGAAACATATTTTTTTATCAATGTATAATTTTTTGCCTTCCCTATCTACCTCAGGTCCCACCATGTAGACGTTATCAGCTAAAGACTTCCAGGACACTTAAATTCTCCACAAACTCATATGTGCATGTTCTTTCTACACCAATAGGCAAGGAAAGTTTATTTGTATAGCACAATTCATACACAAGGCAACTCATAGTGCTGAACAAAATAATATAGCATTAAAATCCTAAATAATTACAGTACATTAAAAAGAAAGATAAAAATATAAAATCCCTCAGTTGTATGCACAGCTAAACAAATCTGTTTTTAAGCTAGTTTTAAACATTGTCAGAGAGGAGGCCTGTCTCACACTTTCAGGAAGATTTTTCCAGATAATAGCAGCATGAATCTGAAAAGCAGCCTTGTTTACTCCTGACTCTGGGCACTAACAGGAGTCCAGTCCCTGTGCTCCTCAAAGTCCGGGCTGGTTCGTATGGTACTAACATGTCACTAATGTAATTTTGGTGCGAGGCCATGGAGAGATTTGTAACAAGCAGAGCTGTTTTAAAGTCTATTCTCTGAGCCACAGGAAGCCAGTGCAGAGACCTGAGGACTGGACTAATATGGTCGTACTTCCTGGTTCTAGTCAGGACTCGAGCTGCTGCATTTTGAATGTACTGCAGCTGTTTTACAGCCTGTTTGGACAGACCTGTGAGCAGGCCATTGCAGTAGTCTAACCTACTGGAGACAAATGCATGGATAAGAATCTCTAAGTCTGCTTTAGACACTATGTTTTTGACCCACTCCTAAATGTGTGTTTTGTGAGCCACAGGCCCTTGAACTGGAGGCTGTCTTGTCTCAGTCATGGGAAGGCAGCAGAGGAAAAAGCACAAGGAGATGAAGAAAAAAATGCCTTTCTGTTTCAAGGCTCTATTTTACAGTCCTTAACCAGCCATGTATCTGGGTTTTTCTGGCTTCTTTCCATTTTTTCCCTGCTCCTGTCCTGCCTGAAAAGCATGGGAAATAGCGTTGTGTCCTGTCCTCTGGTCTGGGTGGCATTACTCATAGGTACAACATCGCAGAAAAAGTTCTGAAAGAAAGAGTTATTATGGGACTAGGCTTGTCTCTGCACTGTGATCTTACACTCCAGTATGTGATTAAACTTGTGACTCAGGGTTAGGTCTATTTCTGGATATTGTTATCATAGGTACACAATGCACATTGTGCACACCGGGGTAGTCTTGCACAGTTTTTCCAATGTGGTTTTACTGCAAATGGCAAATAAATGAATCTGAATCTGAATCATCTTCAGTACGACACTATAGGAACTCTTAGTGTACAGTGCATCATTAATAACTCAAAGACAGGAAATTGTTGGTCTTTATTTTCTAACTTTGGAGGCACACATTTTCTCATAATTCTATCATTCACTCATTCATACTCAAAGTTCTCACTTAAATATAAAGTATTATGGATAACTGTACAAATATGTTGAACTTAATTTTCTCAATTCTAAACAAAAGAAAGCTTCTATTCAAGTAACAAACATGCTGTAAACGGTTTACTATTTAAAAACAAATATTTTCAGAAATATTGGACTTAGTTTGTTCTATCTAAGAAGGTCACTTATGTCAATGATCAAACTGAGTCATGTTTAATCAAACTATTACGTGTCAGAGAGTCCAGGGTGGTAGCACATAACGTCTGTTGTGAATAACCGAGTGTGGAATGATGTAAAAGACCACAAACGGCAAGGCCCATAACACAAACGTAAACAGAAAAGTTGTAAATACATAAGATAAAAAGATGTGCTGAGGTCTATGTCTCTCAGTCCCCATTCAAAATGTTTTTTGGACCTTTCTTCAAAAAGTCTGTCATAGCACAGCCAGACCCCCATCACAACGGCTTGTAATCATGTTGCCCACTTCAGTCCATGTGTCCACGTGAGGATCATAAATCTCCACCGAGTCTACAGTCACTGGTGCAGAAAAGTCGCTGCTTGCAGCACGGCCTCCAACAGCGTAAAGAAACCCATTAACTGCAGAAACTGACACTCCTGCACGTGCTGTCGACATTGGTGCCACCTCTGTCCATTTTTCCTGAACACAGATAAATAAAAAATTACAAATACAAATTTAGAAATTGAAAGGCATATGGTATGATAGTCTTTCTTACTTCTTCTGGACAGTATTTTTCCACTGTCTCAAGGGCACCTAGTGCCTCATTCCATCCTCCTACTGCGTAAATGCAGTTATTAAGGGAGGCTACTCCCACATAGGCACGCCGAGTGTTCATGACGGGCAAGGCAGTCCATCGGCGGGACATAGGGTCATACACCTCAGCTGAACGCAGCTCTGTGCCTTCATCACTGATTCCTCCGATCACGTAAATAAACCCTGAAAAACAAAAATGCTCACGTCAGTGCAATGGATAGACTATCTAATCTATTGCTGATAATAGAAAAATGAACTTGAGTTTGTGCCATGAGGATGATTGGACAAAAACTATACCATGTAGCTCACAGCAGCCAAAGTAATATCTGGGAACTGCCAAACTACCAACAACCTCCCACTTGTTCTCTTCTGGGTCATAACGTTCCATGGTCTTTCCAATTTCTGAACCAATCCATCCTCCTAAAATATAAACACAATTAAAAACAAACATTATTATATCAATCAATCAACTTTTATTTGTATAGCGCCTTTTCTACATAGGGCAACACAAAGCACCTTGCATTACTAAAGTAGTAAAACTATCATCTAAAGTTGGCCATACCTAGTGCATAGAGAGCACCATTGCACGGACAAAGTCCTACTCCACATCTTGGAAAGTTCAAAGAAGCCACAGCAGCCCACTGTTTGGTGACGGGGTCATATCTTTCAGTGCAGTCGAATATCATTGAGTCTTTCTCACCTATCAAGTACACATTTATATAATAAATGTAGAATTGACAATGATTTAAATAAAAAAATAAAAATAAATGTTTGATTACCTCCCACCACATAAATCATTCCTTCCAATACAGCCACCCCCAGCCCACTGCGAGCCTGGTGAATCGAGGACACAGTAGTCCAATACTGATTAAAAGTGTCGAATCGCTCCACACAGCTCAAGGCTCTACTATCACTCCAGCGACCGCCTTGTAGTCTAGTGTAACCTCCTAACATTGAAGCATGACACATATCAGTTAATTGCTCAGTAATATAAGTATTAGGAAAAGCATACCTATTGCAAAAAGATACTTCCGGGCTTTTCTCCTGGGTCTCATCTTCACTGATTGAAGAAGACTACACATTTTATTTTCTTTTGGAGATTTTGCTACTTCAGTATATTCCTTCAACAAAGTTTGCAGTGCCACACGTAGGCTGAAGTCAGTAATACCTTAAGAGAGACATTTGTATATAATAGGAATGTATTAGGTTTATATTACTTAAGCTGCATTTTACCTTCAATGTATTTCAAAAGTCTTTGTGGTGAGAGCAATGGGAATCGTACAGGTTCTAACACTTCCACAATGAATTTTTTCCTTTTAGACAGATCTCGAAGAACCCAGTCCATTGCTGCAGTGAAAACCTGATACTCATCTTCTATTCTCAATTCCTCACTTCTGAGTAGCCTCACCAGCTGATCCTTTAACAGCCCTTTGAAGTCATCAGTAGCACATACCTTAAAGTAATCACAAAAACATAAACCCAATAGTTTTTATGTGTGCCTTCCAAATGCCTGAATTGTATGCAATTAAGTAAAATGTGATTTATACTTCCAAAAAGTGAACGTGAATGTAATTTTCAGTGAATTCAAGCATATTCATGCAAGCAATCTGCTCCAAGAACTGGAAAATTCCTACAGAGTTTGATGGGTCCATTTGATCTTTCAGAAATTCTCCACAGATAGAAACTACTTCCTGCAGCTGAAGCATGTCTGCTGCTACCATCAGCTCCTGCACATTTGCCACTGTTACATTGATCGACCCTGAAATTAAAACAAAGAAGTTAAAAAACAGAAAAACTAACAGGGAGAACAATTTTACTGATTTTTGTATTATACCTGTGTAAATAAAGTCCAATAAAACCTCAAACACCCCTCCATCAACTCCAAGGATCCGGACTTCGTCTTTTTCAGACTCTTTCATCCCACCAGAAAAAAGTGCAGAAAAGTATGGACTGCTAGCAGCTAGTACAAGTTTATGTACTCTGAAAATATGACCACCAACATTGAGTCCCACATCACAAAAGTCGTCATGAAGCCGCATCTTGTTCATTTGTTGCAAGATGAGTCTGGCGTAGCAGTCAGACGCCAGGATAGCTGCACCACTGCCCGCAGGAGGAGGAGAGGTGGAAGACATGTCCCCGGACACTTAACATGAGGGCCAGACCATCAGATCTATGCAGAAAGTCATAGCCACAATATCAACAGCAGCACTTGATCATATGTAGCACAGATGCTAAGGTGACTGTGAACGTCTGGAGATAGCCTCGCTAACATAAGTTGTTCTTTGGCTAAATGACATCGATCGATGTGTGTTTTTCATTGTCAATAGACGACACATTTACAACCCGTTATTATTAATGGCATCTTACCCATACAGATATTGATGTAGCTTTGGAAACTTCCTGTTGGTTGTCAACATCAATCGACCGCTCTGTCTCGACTGGACTGGTCTTGGCAGTGAGGAAGAGTCAGACATGTCTAATGTGCATGTCCCTCATAGAACACTAGATGGCGTTGTAGTAAAAGCAATCCATTCAACTCCTGAGCATTTTCTTAAAACGTTAAAAAAGACCAACATTGGAGCACTAGAGTCCTGGTAAGACACAGCCACGTTATGTAGCTCTCGCTTCGTCTACCACCGTTAACAATTATATTATAGCCTTGTAGCCAGGTCCGACATGTGTGCTAACTTTACCGAACTGTAGATGAACTGTCAAACGCTTCAAATTCTAGTCCTTCACACCCAGTGTGGCACCCAGTGTGGCACCCAGTGTGCCATTGAATATCAGGCGGTACCTGAACTGAACCATAGGCTGCAGACACCTGCTGCTGCATCCTTTGTTGAGCTTCCAGAGTCTGCGGTACCTGAATTTATATTTTACCTGTGCCCCCACATTATAAGGTATACGTGTTTATTTAATGTATGGCCATTCTCATTTGAATGTTCATAAGTTACAATAAAAAAGGGAGGACCATAACTCCTCACCCTATTTCAAATTGATATTTGGTGTACCACAAAGATTGGTACTCGGCCCAATTCCCTTCATGCTGCATATGCTGCCATTAAGCAACATCATTATGACATTAACTTCCACTGCTACGCAGATGATACACAGCTTTACCTCTCAATGAAACCAAGTCAATCAGAAAGGCTTAAAAGGACCTTGGTGACCAAGATGACCCTCTGCTACCTGCTCCTCTAACTGTAAGTTTTAAATACAGTCCTCTAGTCTAAATTATCCACACAAAAAAGCTTCCAACTCGTCCAAAATACAGCAACAATGATCTTAACAGGCACTAACAGGAGGAAACTTACAACTCCAGTGGCTACCTGTGGTGTGCAGGATCACATTTTAAATCCTTCTTTTAACATACAAGGCTATAAATGGTATGGCTCCTTCCTTTCACCAAGACACACTAGCATCAACCAAACCAAGCTCTGAGCTCAAAAAATGCTAGACCTTTGGTGGTTCCTAAAGTGTAAAAAAGCACAGTAGGAGGCGGATCATTTAGCTACACTCCTCCTATACTATAAGAAGAGGACGAAGCGTCTGTGTTCTGCCTGAGTTCTGGATCCTGTCCATCTGTAGGAGTGGGTGTCTATCCCAATGTGGGTCTCCCTGAGGTTTCTCACTTTTTACCCTGTTGTTTGTTGTTGATTCTTACGGATTTAGATCTAAGGCAGGGATGTCCAAACATTTTAGTAAGAGGGCCACTTTAGTTCACAAGACTTGTCCAGGGGCCCACATCACGGACTGAAAACTGTCTTGACTGGTTTTGGGCTGTTCTGAGCTATAAAATGATCTATAATAGACTTGAAGTTGGCTGAATGACAAATGTTTACCATCTTACCAGCCACAGCAGCAAAATTTACGGACGTTTGTGACACAATAAGAAAACCACGTCAGTACAGTACGTACAAATTAAGTCAACGGCTGAATTCCAGATATTACTGGGCTTTGGAACAAGGTATTGGCTTAGCTGAAGTTGGATGGATGACACAGTGCACTTGTGTTCATGATCTCAAAGACTACTTTTGGTTTGCGAGCCAGAGGGCCACATTAAATGCATTTGGCCCCCGGGTCTGACTTTGGACATGCCTGGTCTAATGATGATTTATTAACATTTATGAACATTGGTCTTCTTGCTCCCTATGGACCAATGGCTTCTATGTGCTTGTTATCAGTGTAATCCCTTGGATCGAACTATTGGATTCCCTGCTCTATTTTTGAGGAATCAACAACTTTGTAAAACCCTCAAGTGCTTCTGTGATTTAGGGCTATAGAAAAATAATTCTAATGGAAATATAATCAATGTTGTGCCTTTTCTGACTACATTGTGAACTTCCTCACACTGCTCTACTCGTCTAAACTACAGACACCCTGAGAAGCAAAAGCCCAAAGAAAATATCCTGACCTTGATCTCACGTTTTTGTCATATCACATTTCACACAAGGTTTATCAAATTAATTTCATGCATTTCCTGCCCTAAATGAAACCACACATTTATATACACCTTAGCAAAAATACTTTTCACTCAAGTTCTTGCCACATTTCCTGATATCATCTAAGTAAAACTTTCTGAGTTAGTTCAATAGAGTATTTTAAAAATATTAATATATTGGTAAATTATTTATTTCAGCTGATATTTTTTGTATCACATATTCACAGTGTCAGATTTTTATATACCAATGTGGCATTGCAGGATGGGTCAAATGCAGAGAACACCGTTCCATCCATGGATAATTTAGTATACTGTACCTTTACCTAGAATTGTTTAGCTTGGGTGAAACGTTTTGACTCTAACTGTGACATTGCTAACTGTAAAAAATAACATTGTAATATTTCTACCAATTTTGTTGAAAAAGTATTCATACCCCTATGAACTGTTGCAAATGTTGTGTTATTTCCATATTTTGTGTGTAAGAACACAAAGTTGAAGATGGTTGTGAAGTTAAATCAAAATGTTATTTCGTAAAATGATGATTGCTTATATATCTATTTTATTAGTGTATTTGAATAGGGACCACTACAGTAATCAACACTAGCAGTATTATTTATTCAGCTCGTTGACAACTGTAGTCCCTGGGCAAGGTGTAAAATTCCAGCCTAATTAAAATAATCTTTAGCTTTATCTTTTCTGTATAAGACTGAGTTGTAGTCTTTGCCCTAAAGCTAATTACGACCAATAAATTACTTTTTTTGTTATTCTTCCTAATCATTTAGTCCTAGTCCAAACTCTGTCTTCTTAAACCCCAGGACATGAATGCAGCTTTACTGTTGTCTTTAGCCTTGAGTCTGTTGCGAAACTGGTTCAGGTGAGGCACATGAGTTTCAACTTTAACTCTGTATTATTGTCTGAGTACACATTTACATAATGTTCTTTTAGAATGTTTGCTCAGACATATAGTTTCAGTCTTATGACTCCTCATTCTTACTTATATTATACATTTTTAGGAAAAGTGATGATTGCGTCAATTTATCATTGAATATAGATATTTATACTCAAATGAGGCTATTGCAGAAGAGGCACATTTGTCTTTTGGAAAGTACACTTAAAGTAGCAATATGTAAGATTTTCATGTCAAGTCATCATTAAATGTCCCTAATATGTCAAAAGGTATTAATAAACCACAGTCTTTTTGACTACTTCTTAATGTGATAAGAGTAGTTCAACCGAGATCGAATTTCAAAATTGGATTGACGGCGTCTAGATCTAGAAGGGTTTCCCTCTAGATCTGGGTTGCCAGAACTCACCACATCGAGGTAATCTCACTGCTGGTAAACTAACACGTGGCCGCAGAACTAATAATGGTCTTTTATGATTCTCAAATCATTAATGACAAAACAAAGAATGAAACAAGGGTTTCTATCACGGATGCCTTTGTGAAAAAGGTGTTGGTTACAGATTTATTGTTGACAAAACTCTCAGTTATTATGGTCCCAGCTGGATTTGTGTGCATACCTGGGTCAGGGAGAGTGCCGTGCCACTTTTGGCCAGATTTTTTTATTTACATATTGCTCCTTTGATGACAAAAAACGAGTTAAAGCTATGTTTTTTTTTGCTTTTCTAAATTCTAGAGATGAGATGAGTCATGGGTTTGGATGCCATCCATCCATTTTCTACCCTTTAATCCATTTCTGGGTCAGGGGGGTGGCAGTCAGAGATGCCACCCAAGTCTCATAGCACCAGCCCCTCACTGACCCTCTGCAGGTGGTGAGTCCACAGGAGGACGGCTGCTCTCTGAGTGTGAGCATAGCCTTGATCTTTCAGTGGGGGCTTTGGGCAAAGTGGGGTTAAGTGTCTTGCCCAAGGACACAACGACAGCAGTCATCAGTGGGAGTCGGTGGAGAAGGTGTAGAGGTGGGAATTGAACCCACGACCTTCAGGCCTGAAGGCCAATGCTCTACCAACTGAGCTACTGTCGCCCCATGGGTTTGGATGGGTTTTTGAAAAGCAAATGTGGCAGCTGTGGCAGAAAGGTGGTTTTCATTTTAAACCATGACATGCTAGATTAGATTTGCCTTTATTGTCTTCTAATGGAGAAATTTCCCGTGAACAAGCAATGACTAAAGGTTTTTGCAAGATTGTAATTCCCAAAAATGTTATTTCTTGTTGTCAGTGTTCCTTATGTATGTTTGTGTATGGAAGGCATGCCATCTAAACGTGTTTGTATGGCAACGTTGTGGAAGTAATGATCTTTAGCAAGCTCCAGAACAGCCAATGAATGCAGCTTGTATGCTGCTTGGCAGGATCTGTTGTCTCCATCCTATAAGCCGCTATAATGTGCTGGGAAAAGTCTTCTTATCGATTGTGCTTCCACATAGCAACTGCACGCTGATTGGCTGCTGCTGAACAGTGAGCCGCCTCTGATTGGCTTGTCGTCCTGTGAGAAAACGTGCTCTAGACGGAGACAGGGCAGAGGGAGGAGGCGATTGGCTGCGGCTTCTCCTTATTCAGTCTATGGGCTGAACTGAAAGCAAAAACCTCTTTCCTGAGGCCTCAGAGGTGTGTGTTTTAGGCGTGACTCCAAAGACAATTCTTCTTGCTCCCCCCATTTTGAGCACATCCCCCAAGACGTAATTAAATTCTGGTCTATGGAACAAAAATCACTGAAAATATAAAGATGTCACCCCTATAATGTGAGGGTTGAAAAGGAGAGGGAAAGGTAGAGAACTCATTTATTTGTGACTGTACTGCGCTTTAGATTAAATACTTTCATGAGTTGTCTCTATTTTGGTGCCCCACACATTTTCTCATCCCACTCTCTGATTCTGACACACTTGCAGCAGCAGCCCGAGGGTGACTCAGATGTACAAACTGTCCTCTGGTCCATCTCCAAACAGTGCGTGCAAACGGCTCCACTTCTACCCGCCTGCTTCTCCTATGTGCAGCTCTCCTCTTTGCTGACACAGATAAGAGGAGGTAATCCATGCTAGGTCTCTGCTCCATGCATCTCATTAATCCCCAGTTAATGCAAACCTTGTGTGAAGACTGAAGTAAACCACCTGTTGTATGGGTTGGGCTGTGTTGGTTTCCATATTTGAGCTATATACTGTGGAGATCATGTCTGAATCCATAAATACTCCCTTGCAGTCTGACAAAATAAAGCAGTTTCTTTAGGCTGGTGTTTACAAATGGCTGACATCAAATTCCTTTTACCATCAAGCTAGCCAGAAATCTAATGTGGTTTCCTAGGTTCAACATTTTCCCTGACTTTACAGCAAGGCCAAACTAAACATGCCTTGCTTTCACATGTCCTGCCATTGTGTTCAGCACTTCCCTTTCGCTTCCATCTGTCCACAATGTCCTCCTGTGCCCTCAGCACTGACCCAAGGATAAGCCGTCAGGCTGCAATGGCTACAGAAGAAGCAGATGGTACATTTTAGATAATGGTGCATCACTTTAAAACTTTCCTTACTTAATTATTTCCTGGCACTGCAGCTCAGTGTCCACTGGCCAAATAGTTGATTTTGGACTCGAAGACATACAGTACAACAATATACAGTGCTTTAATTATTACAGACATTCAAGTAAAGGTCAATTCTCTGCTGAGAACAAAATGTTTAGCTTTAATGGGATCCTGCTCATTGTTCCACTGGAATGTTAATGACTCTTTGAATTTTAGGATGCAAACCGGACATGCCGATTTCATCCAAGAACAAAAGATGACTAGTGAAGTATGTTGCATTAAGCCAACAGGAATTGCTGTTGAAATGAGTCATAAGAGCTTCGTGTATCCTGGTCCGGGCCATAATAACATTAACGTTGCCTTAGATGTCAAACGCTATTACGTTATTACATGCAACAGGTTTTTCAGTTTTTAAACGTTCACCCTATATTTAGTATGTGCAGTTTCTACCATTCACTAGAATTAGACAACAAATAACAATGAGAATAGTTGACAAAACCTTTATCAGTTTATTGTCTTTCAGCATGAAAACTCAGGCTCTCACATTGCTGCACTTTACAGCTGAGTATGTTCCAACTCACTGTATTTTTGTAAGGGGCAGTGTCTCCCTCACTCCAATAGACCATCCTCCATAATACATTTTAAATAGATGTTTGTTTTTGAAGAGTATTGTCATCAAACCTGAAAAAAATGTGCCAAGTTCAATACGATTCCTTCTCCTCTTAAGCTATGTAGGCTGCATGTCACAAAAAACATTCATAGCTCGAGCAAAGCCACAGTTCAAGTAATGGAGGCACGATACTTCCGGGCCTCTGGCAGTTCACACAGACACAGGAGGCCACATCACACAAACAGCACCAAACAAGAGTGCATTTTTGTGGCAACCCCTCTCAACAGCGACACCATCACCTTCCGCCATTAATTCTCATACATTGCAAAGTTATTAGAGAAATACTGTTGGATTGCACTTTCTTCAAGCTTTCATCTTGTGGTATGTTTATAGAAAAAATAGATATAGATAGAATACAAAAAGCTTATACTTCTTTGAGTAACAGAATATTACATACAGTACTTCAGATTATGTTTTGATCAGCACATCAGCAGGTGTACATCAAATTGCTCTATCATTTGCCCAAATACAATTTTCAAAATACACTCGGGATGTGTGTTAAGTGCTTTGGTATGGGACTACTTATTCACCATTTTACAATCTTACAATCATTTCATTTTAAAGGATTACAATGCTACATATTCATTAACTGTTGTATACAAATCTTAATGAAAATGTCAAATTGTCAAAATGCACCAATATATTGTATCTGCATGTAGCATTTATGCCAAAATTGGGTCAATCAAATATGACTGCTCCATTTTTTTCTCACAAATGCTAAGGCAGAATTTATTAGACCTACTATGTAAATTAATAACATCTATATGAACATCAACTCTAGTGGAAGTCGAAGTCAAAAGTGCAGCACCTGATGTGACTGAGCAATTATTTGTCATAGACAACATCCCAACAAACAACCAAAATGAAAAAAGCTCAAAAATAAAAAATATAAAAAAATCTATGTTTCAGCTGACATTCCAGGTCCGGTCCCACTTCATTTGTGAACTATGTATTCACAAAAACCAAATGGAATCACTGTAGTGCAAAACATGTTTACACAATGCACCATGATGCTGTTGTTCTTGCAGGTAACAGTAAACAAAATGTCCGCTAGCATCTGTCCATCCGGGTTACATCTCTGGGGCGGCAGGCAGGAGTCCGGCTGGGTGTTTTGAAGTCTTTAAGAGTTTAAGTTCCTCTGTGTGTGGATTTTTATTGTCCGCAGCTTTGGCGTGCACGGGATGAGACAGCCGCACATCCAGCGCGTCGTTGTGTTGTGCTAAGGAGTGCAGGCGATAGTGCAGGACCAGGTCTTTGAGTGAGCAGTGGGCATCATAGGGTTCAGCAAATCCGTATCCAAGAGCTGTACTGTAGATCATGCAATGCTTCACTTCTTCATTTACGCTGCAACAAAAAATTACAAATAATTATGAAAAACTATCTTAATCATTTATTATCACTCTGAATTCATCTTATTTATTAGTATTATACTCATAATGCACAAAAAGTGTTCTCATTAAGACCGTTCAACACACTTTATTTTCTAAAATAATATATTTCCACTGTCTATAACTGTTTTATTTTGATCATAACGTCCAAAATCCAATGCAGCGTTGTTTTGGAAAATTTGACGTCTTTCAACCCAATACACCCAAGTAAATGCACATATGCCTCCAGAAGGAATAAAAAGCGCAACGCATTTGTGTAAAACATAATGCATTGAGCAAACATATACAGTACATAGGCCTGTCGCGATATTCATTAAATCATGATCATTAAAATTAGCTCGATAGTTTTCCTGGTCGCGATAAATTCCATTTGCATTTCCCGTCTCTCTCTTCCTCTCTCTCGGGTCAGAGAGCCGCAAAGTGGTCACTCGAGCAGACTGAAATAACTCAAAATCAGGCTCTAGTAGTGACTAAACTAGCGCAGCTAGCGTTAGCGTGTTCGCCGATGCGGAAGTGCCGTTTAATAATAAAATAAACTTATGACGCACCTCCATGAACACATACTGCTGTTATATAAAGTATCTGGAAGGTCTCTGGACAAAGAGACGCTGCAGAGCTGCATTATTGGCAAGAACTTTACACAAAAAGCTGCTAGCATGGAGTTAGCATCATGCTAGCGGCTTTTTACTTCTGCCACTTCCGGCGGTGGTCTTTGATAATAAAAGTGTATATCTCTTTGAAAAGGTGTACCTGCATCATTATCATTGTATTAGATGAAAATGATCTCAGAACGACAATACTATCGCTTATTGCAATAATTTCTGAGACAATTGATCGTCCAACAAAATTTGTAATCGTGACAGGCCTACATATACATATAAAATGGCAAGCCGAAACAGCACTTTGCTCAACATTAAAAATGTCCACTTACACAACAGAGCAGGCGTAGCATCCCTGTTTGCTGCTTTCTCGAATCAGAAACGTCCCAGGTGCTTTACCCTGCAGCATCTCCTCTGCCTGAGTCCGACTGAGCTCCCCCACAAACCAGCTTTCTTCATCCTGATGTGGCAAGTTCATCTCATCCCCCTTCAATACATATGTGCTAAAACCCAACACAAAATCTTTCGGTCACACTCTGCAATAAGAACCACGCAACAAGTTGTAAATGTACTTTTTTGGAATACTTACTCATCAAGGCTATCGCTGTGTAGTCCCAGCCATTCGTTTATGCGTTTTTGCCGTACGCCTTTGTGATTGAGCCAGCTAAATAAAAGAATGACAGGTTAGCTTTTCCACATTTTTGAAATATGATTCTTAACAATATTTTGTTTAAGCTTTTAGTTTGTCCTTACTTAAGATACTGGTCTCTGATGTTTCTTAGATGGATAAGGTCAGGTCGCAAGCTGTTTATCTTTCTGTCCGTCTCCCTGTAGTCCTCCACCTGGGTCCTTAAGTCTTCTTCCAGATGGATCTTGCTGTCGTAGATCTCCCCAAGGCGGCACTTCAACTTCTCATAATTTATCAGAAAACTGCAGAGCAAATGCAAAAGGTCATCAGACTCAAAAGTCACTGTCCACATGTGTAGAATGGGAGTCGAGGTTTAGAGCGGTGAAATGTGTTTTACATGTGACAGTGTAATTACCTTTCCAGATCGTTGTCGGAATCCTCTGATGGATTACTTCTTTCAAACTCTTCCCCGTATCGTTCCTGTTCTCGGCATTGCTCCTCAAAGATCAGCATGGTCTCATTGAAAGCCTCTATGGCAGTTCTCTTCATCTGAATCTCCTGCAGAAGACAAAAAGCCCTCTTATTAAGATGTGTGCGATAAGCCGCGGGGTAGTATGTCATCACATGCTGTCACAGTATGAACAAAGTGGTGTTTCTTTTTCGTTTTACCTGTGACGTCTTAGTAAATGCTTCGTAAAGCTGATCAAACTGCTTCGACTTCTCGTGAAACTGACATTGCACTTCTTTAAGTTTCCTTCCAGCAACATCGACAGTGTCTTCATTCACCTAACGTGCAACATTTCGTGTTTGAATACAATTTTGTCAACACAAATGTACCGTAAATGTGATCGTAATAAACTGTGATTATTTACCTGGAAGCGAGACAAAGGATTAGTGAGCATCAGGTCCAGCGTTGCATTATACTCCACCAGTGGATGTTGCTGATAGTACCAGATAAGTTCTACGACGGAGTTGAAAGTAAGAGGGTCGGAAAATCCATATTTGCCGTCGCAGTGATATATTTTGATCAGCTTGTTGTGCCCGTCTTTCCTGTGAGAGAATTTTAACAGACTTAAGTGATTTCATCTTTAAGCGTCAACTAATTTGTCGACTAATTCTCCATTTCACCCACCGTAATGTCAAGGTAAAATCTCCTTGTAGTTTAGTTGAGGCATCGCGCACTAAAAAAGATCCATCAGGTGTGTCTCTCAGCTTTTCGTTCACCTCATCTCTGTAAGACATGTGTAAACTTATATCAACACTGACCAAAACGCATTGCCGTACAATATTGTATTAGTAATAAAACATGGTATTTACCTTGTGATGTCTCCCCAGTACCATTCAGCGTCTTGTAGAGAAAGTGCAGGCCGAATGTTGTTGTTGGGGCTCGAGGAAATTGGCTTTGCAGACCGAGGTGGCAGAGCTGACCAAACAAATGAGAAGAATATTTATGTTATTCATATGGAGTCAAAATGTCATTGCATTGGTAATATAGTAAAGAGGTCTCAACTATAAAACTGTGCAGACATGTCACCCCCACTCCCCCACTGCTCTTTGCTTCTTGAAGCCTGTCAAGATTAGACAAGCCCGGGCATGTTTCCAACAGGTACCACGTGTTAACATGCATTTGATTCATTACTGTGGTAGAAAGTTGATACTTGCGTGTTAATTCTCCCAAATATTGTTTTAGGCCATGGCAAAATTGTATTCAGCTGTTTGGGAGCAGTGAAAAGGGAAATGTCTTTCCTTTGCGTTTGGGTACACACTGGACTCAGGTTAAAAGCATACCATTTTATAATGTTTCTGGCCAGCTTCTGTTATTTTTATAATTACTTCACTTTCTCATACGCTAGTAGGTTTTCCATCAACAAAAATCCTGCCTGAGACTAAGCGTTTTCCTAAAAATGAAAAAAGGACAAACCGCATCAAGGGGGAGGTGAAGGCGATATATTTCAGTGCAGGACAAAAGTGTCTTTCATGGTGCACAAGAGCTGCCTCAGAAACGAACCAAATGTGGCTTTTCTCCACCATCCGCTCCCCTCTTTTTCTAACCTTAAAATAAACAAAAGGCAGGTGCAGCAGCGCAGTGGCAGCCTGAACCAAAACCTGCGGCTCCTGAACTCAGCAAAATTAAATGTGCACACCTTCCCCTTTCAGTGAGCTGCCAAGAACTGCTGGCACTAAATCAATGTGCGCACAAAACAGACACGAGAAAGAGGGGACGTGTCACGCTCCAGATTTTAAACACTTGGGGAGAAAAAGTCTAAACGTAAGCTATTTTGAGGAATGTTCATACTTTCTTATCTGCGCGTTGGATTGGGTCGCTGTCACGTACGGGCTCTCATACAAAGTGCGCAATCCTGACTGTCATGGATGAACAAGAATATATGCCAGTCTAATAAACGAATGCTTACTAAAATGCAAAGACAAAACACATGTGCCAGGCTCCAATTCGTCAGACAAAACCAGTCTAGTCTCTTTTCGCCCCGAGCCTACTTTTCAGATCTAGCGCATGCATTTACCACGGCTGGCTGCAGAGGGAGAACAAAGCGCTCGCTTCATTCGCCGTTCATTATCCCCGTCTTAATTGTGTTTCTTCTCCAACATGATTACCACGACTACAAGTCTGCCTCTCTCTGTCCTGTTAATTCCCGGCAATGCAATCAGGGCGAGCATTTTTGGCCAAGTTTGTGCCGATGAGACGGGACAAAGGAAAAGAGCGCTGGTTCACTGAAAGGTATTACGTAATTGCCAAGTGAATTGCGCTATGCATGCCTGGGCAATGCCACTGGGGGAGCACAGTGCACAGGACGACAGCGTTTAAGGCTTTATTATGGCACCTGCAAGGCATTTCGAGCACCTCAAACCATGTCAGCACCATTACGAGGGTTGTCCATGAGCTGCCAATGGGAAAAACTAAGAAATGGCCGAATGCAACACTGTGGAGCGGACAACGGAGCAGACAATAGAAGTCCTAGTTTAACCCTAACGTACCTGGTGGCGCTTGATCCATTTCGATGTAAAATAAGCCTTCAGAAGGATAAACCATTCCTGTTTGCAGAGCGTGATCCAGTTTGCTGTCGCTGTGTCCGTGCGTAAAAAATGCACAATTGTTTCTTTTGATTATAGGCAACTTCGACTCGCAATCCACGTCCTACATAGATGAGGAAAAGGGGCCAAAAGCGTTTCTCCCGACTCCATAAAACCAATTAGACTCTTTTGGTCTAATTGTCCAAACCTATGTTGAGAGATATAGATTGTCTTCCTCGCTCTGCCGTTGCTCTTCTACTTACTTCATCTCGGAAGTGGAGCTACTTTAAAGGGTTGTCGTCACATCATCTTGGGAGAGTCCAAATGATTTTTTTCTGAAAGGGGCGTCTATCAAAATGAACTAAGAAAGACCATAACAGTTGTACATGTATTATGACCGTGCTCGGATTTTAGAGCGTGTTTAAAACCTTTGTCGTTTTGTTTGTGCGTGCGTTGTGTCGATACAAGCTTTAGATGTCCCCCCGAAATATCATGGTACGACCCAGGTCGTTTCATTCACTCTACAAGCTCCACTGTAACAGCTGAAAAATGTCTCCCTGGGCATGAATGAAAAACGAGAACCCTTAACCCTTTTGATCGTGATTTTAACAGGTTGGGCTTAATACCTGATTATAAAATGTATATTATAATGATATTCTAATACAAGGGTAAAGGGTTCTATAACAAGAGTGAATATTCAGTATACTGTCATTGATTTGCATTGCATGGGCTGGAACAAGTTTACGGATAAATTGTAACTAATTGATTATTTAAATAGTGAATTATCATAGAAATCGATTAGTCTTTTCTTTAAACCAAATGTCAACTAAAACATGTAATTTAAAGGTTTTGTAAATTATCTGCAATTACTGTAGAAAGAAATAAATGAACAACCAATTTTTTTCAACACAGATTTTTTTAAGTGGCATCGAAATACAAAAATTGTTTTCACTGACCTTTTGCGACCTAAACAATAAACCGATCAATGAATTACAGATATTGTTACAGTTATTCAGCTTGCTCAAAATTAGTATTAGTAATTCCTGGCCCATCATGTGTTTTTGTTTTGTCTCTACACATGCAATGCATTCTACATGCAACAATAGTTTACCTGGACAAGACTTTGTATTTCAGTAAAAATTCTAATTTTAAATGAAATGGCACCAATATATACTTTTGAATAAATGTCTTTGTCAGTTTTACAAAGCAACAGGGCCGTAGGCTTTTTTCTCTTTTCTTTGGCAAGTATGAGTAGTATACTAGTTTAGCTTGTTGGACATGTTCACTGAAAAAAAAACACCCTAACTGTCTGTAGGAAATAGTCCACACTCAAAAAGTTTGTTCTCTTAACAGCTGACTGACAGTTTCACGCCCTTGTAAAGAACAAAATGTTTTGGTCATATACAGTATACCTGTGTTGTCAGAGTGCCTGTATGAATATGCTTTGTTGTACAGTGAATTGACACAACTCTGAAAGATGCTGCATGGAGAAATGGTGAAATGAGGTTTGACCCAAGACTTGTATGTCAGGGTTATTTCCCCCAGGGTTCCCCCTTCTCATCAACAAGATAAGTGATTCGACAAAATACACGTCATGACTATTCAAGGAAACTGATATACCTATAAAGTTAGTACCATGTTGAGGGGCAAAACCGTTTTGAATATTCAGTTGAGGCGTGCAGCGTGTCTGAGATGTCTGGAGTTATGTGTTAAATGTATGAGGCCTTGGGCATGTCGCAGCATGTCACAGATGTTCCCCCACCCCAACCCCAACCCACCACTGACTCCCATTCCTATTAGAATATTTCATTGTCTTGGGAATCTGTTTTTCTATTAGAAATATTAGTTTCTCAATCAATTTACATACCTATGAATTTATTTATTTAAGGTCATCATAACTATGTGGCTTTTTCTGTTTCTATATGTAATTTACTTCTATGTCATAACTCGATCCTAGACTGATCCCAACTGGTCCTGGACTGGTCCTGGACTGGTTCAGCGCAATCTTGGCTTGGAGCCTGTTTACTCACTTATTTATACATATCAGTTTTAGCATGCATCAAAGATAAAGCCTGTATGATCAACCTGTATGTTAAGTCCCCCGCTGAAAGACATGCCGTAGAGCAGCCATCCTCTGGACTCACCATCCGCAGGAGGATCAGTGAGGGGCTGGTGCGTAATGTGTGGCATCTCTGATATTGGATTCTGGTACTTCTGTTTATTCACTGTTCATTCATTTCAAATACAATAAATAAATAAAATAATAATAGTTCTATAGTAGTTAGTTTTCTTAATATTTAGATGTGTCCTACTGTACATACTTGACAGTAATTAGGTTGAGTGAATGAATATTTTCATTAGATTACCTGTATAAACTATATGTTTATTATTACTATTTCCATATCTTTTTTAAGCGTCTCAACAATTTTTACTCTTCTGGGGTTAATTGTTTGAAGGAGTATGACTTTTCTCAGTGTGGGAAGTTGACCAGTGAACTCAACATTTTGGTTCTGCACCCAGATCTAGATGGTCCTGATGGGATCATAAAGGCTAATTCTTAGATTAAGGGGATAGGCTGATAGTGCAAGGCTGCCAGCTGCCTGCTCACTTGTGTGACTCATCCTGACACCACTGCAACATGCCCTGCGCTGTGGGAACACTGAAAACCCACCTCATGTTCAGTTAACCCTGTTTAAAGTTTCATCCATTTTCATTTGTTGGAAACTCGTCATGTAGGCACCAACTCAGTAGATGAATACATACACTGAAGATACTTTGAAGTTATTATGTATTATATAAGTTTACAACCTTTTGCGACATCTCTTTAACCAACCGTTTTGTAGTCTTCAGTAGTGTGTGAGTGACTGTGTGTCAAGAGACTGTTGTTAGCTGATTTCCACACGCCTTATCACTGTTATCTCTGGTGTGGATCCCAAATCTTTAAAGACACAACACCGCAAACCATGTCAGTTATTAGAATATTTCCCTTATGGCACTATAATGTCTGTAATGTTGTGTGTAATGAGCTGTAGTGCAGTGTGGATTTGTGCGCACGATTAAAGAGAGGTGGAATGGTCTTGGCCAGGCCTTCCATATTCACTATGGAGAGACTATGGGGTTTCCCTGATCAGGGGCCAGAACCAGCATACAAAGCATGCAGTCGTCCTGCCAGAGGCAACTCAACTGTGGGCAGTGAGCAGGGCGGCTCTGGTCTGGCCCCCAGGACCCGACCATTGTGGATATGTAAGTGGGGACAGTGTCTAACGGCTGGAGTTGGAATGGATTTCTTTGCACAACCAAAACTATGAGCTTCAAATAGCTAGGCCTGGGAAACATAGCTTGTTCATTTCAGAGGTCAAAGAAAAGCCAAAAAGAAAATACAGCAATAATGTTTGGTGAAGAAAGTACAGGTTACATTTACAGACAGTATCAGTCTTTCGCAGAATGTGTGTTGAGGGAGTGTGTCCTGCTTTGTGTAGCACCCAGTGGTCACACCACTCATCATCTATCACTTGACTCTCCACAGACTAATCTGACTAGCAGAAGTGACAACCGAGGTAGCTGTGGCATGACACGGCATAACACTTAACAGCTGAGTGTCTGGGCAAGCTGAAGTAGACCATTTCTGTGCGTGCTCGAGCAATGCAACTGCATGATCGCCTCAAAATGTGTTTACAGTGATGGCAAGAATACTTTGGAAATGTGTTTAATGTTAATGCTCTTGATTATGCATTCCAACATGCAAGGCAAACGCCATTTGCTTTACGCAACTTGGTACAGAATAAATCATAATAATGAAAAAATAAATACAAAATTGAATGACAGACATTTTCACAAATCTTTGTATTCCATTACATGGTTTGAGTACCAAACTATAAATATGGAATAAAATTGTTTGTTTGTTATAATAATAATATATATATATATATATATATATATATATATATATATATATATATATATATATATATATATATATATATATATATATATATATATATATATATATATATATATATATATATATATATATATATATATATATATATATATATATATATATATATATATATATATATATATATATAATAATATATAGCTCAGTGGATAGCTCAGTTGGTAGGGCACAGGACTGGGACCTGGGAGGCCAGGGTTCGAATCCCACCGGGAGCACATTAACACCAACATCCAGTGAGGGTCCTTGGGCAAGACCCTTAATGCTACTGCCTAACTCATAACCATGAAGGTACAAATAAGCAATGAGATGCCGGATCAGCCGTCGCCCGGCCAAACAAGGTCTGCGTCAGGTGCTGGGGAACCAGAGCACCTTGATGAAAAGTGGGCTACTGGAACAAGGCGAAAGTGGACGAGATGCGATAACAGGGCTCTGTTGGAATGCTACTACTCGAGTAACCCTGGCCAAAGAGGTTACATGCAGAGAATGTGGGCTGAATGGTTACTTCGAAACCCACAGTCACAGTTGACCCCGAAACAACTGGTAGCTCAATGCTCCAACATCCACAAACGGCAACTGCTATCACAGCTTGAGATTGATGAAGTACAACACATATATGATGCCACAGTTGCCGAGGTCAGAGGGGAGATCCCACCAACTGCAACTCCCCAACCAGATATTGGGTACATAGCCCCAATGGAACCGATAACGCTGAACGAGGCAGCGACTGACCTGAAAGCTAAGATCATGGCTAGAATGGGCACAGGGCAAAGACACCGGTTACAGCGGTTGTGTGAAGTACCACCTAAGGATCTCATAGAAAGCGTGAATGCAGCAGTGAGGGCAATACCTACCACCACAATCACTGAAACCAATGAGCTGATATACACTTCAGCAGCAGTGATCCTAGAGATGCTTGGCTATAAGAGCAACCATGGGAGCCATGGACAATACCCACCATGGAAAAGACGGTTGGAGGCTAAGATCAAGGCGGCTCGGAGAGAAGTGAGTCAATTAACAGAGGCCCAGAGAGGTGCAATGAAAAGACCAGTACCCAGAAAGTA